GGCTCAGCGCTCCGGCCGCCCGGTCCCGCGGCGCCCCCTGCGCGCCCAGCTCTCTCTGTCCATGCTTAGGGCCCCGCGTTGCCCAGAGCGCGCGCCTCGCGCCGGTGACTCCGCTTGCCGCCGCGCCCAACCCGGCCTGGATCTCCAGGCAGTCCCTGGGGGAACGCAGGGAACCGGCCAGAGAGAGAGCCGAGCCCGCCAGCAGCTAGCCAGCGCCCCGCGTCCCTGGCGAGTTTGGCTCCGCAGCCCTACTCCCAATGCGCGGCGGGAGACGCCGCTCTTAAAGGGCCAGTGTGCTCCCTGTGCGCAAATCTAGGCGGAGGCTGGGGGGCGGTTCCTAACCCGAGGCTTTTCAGTAGCAGGTGCCGGCTGTGTTGGCTCCGGCACTTGAGTGACCCTGCTCATCTTTCCTGATGGCAGCAAACCTCCCCTAGCCTGCTTTGCTCTCACCTCTGCTTCTGGGGAGCAGGGGTGACCCCCATAACTTGACTCTATTCTGAAGCAGGGCGCCAGGAAGGCGTGGTCTTCCTTCGAGGGCAGAGCTTAGATTCCTCAAGCCACTTGGAGGAAGGCGATAAGGACATTCAGATAGAGGTGGGCCAGAAAAGGACTAGTGTAATGACCCTAAATCCTGCTTTAAACTTTAAAACAATGACAATAAAACTCCGAAACAAAGAAGTTAGAAGGGCAGGTAAGATGACTCAGTGTGTAAAGGCTCTGGCCACCATCAAGTTTGTCAAGTGTGGCAACAAGAGTTCGATCCCCAGGACCATCTTGGTGAATCACTAGACCCCTCACCACTGTGGCGCACCTGCAAACACACGCGCACACACACAAATATAGTTTTAAAAACAAGCCGCAGGGTGTCTTAGGTTCCTTAGTAAATTTCTACGTCGTGAAGTCAGGGGATAGGGTGTAACCGAGGGTTCAGGTTTACAATGTGCGGAAATCGCATCCCCACTCCCCTGCATGTGAGTATGAGCCAATTACTAGATCTTCAGTGTGCACATATTTTCTCCAAGCAAACCCACTCTACTTGGTCTCTATTATGTGAAAGTCAGTGTGTCGTGAGGTTCATCAGAATGCTGGGTGGAAGGGCAGCAATTGGATTGCCAAGTGAGGACCAGAGGAGCCAGGACGGAGGGCAGCAAACCTCATTACCTCCCCACAGACAAATGGAAGTTTCCCTTACCCGAGGGTACCAGTCTTTCCTAGAATAGGTCTCCGGTGCCACGCCCCTCCCATCTCCCAGAAATAGGAGACCTGGAAAAGGACCTTAGAATGGCTGGTTCGAATCTACCCAGGGGTGAAAGAAGATAAAACATGTCCGGTACCTGGCCTAACCTCTCAAGGAAACGAAATTGGGGTTTGGAGAAAACATAGAGGTAGTGTCTCCCCATTTCCACCCATGGACTTCCCTGTGGGGTCCCTCACCTGAGAAACCAACTTCGCAATTCTCTAATTTGACATTTGATTTTGAGAAATGTTTAGTGTCCAGTGCAAAACAGCCCATTTAAGTTAGAGGTACTGCAATTGTCTGCTAAATTTGTTCCCAGCCATTTTTTAAAAACTGAGTTTGTGGGGTTACCTAATCATAAATAAAATCTCAGGTATGTAGGCAATGCTTGAGAGAATGTTTGAAAGACCACAGTCTTGTGGTCTTGTGTTTTCTTCCATTGCTGGTTGTTCTGGTGGGCACTTCTGGCTAAAGGAAATGGCTTCTTCTTTTTAAAAGATTCATTTATTATGTATACAGTGTTCTGCCTGAATGTTTGCCTGCAGGCCAGAAGAGGGCACCAGATCTCATTATGGTTGTGAGCCACCATGTGGTTGTTAGGAACTGAACTCAGAACCTCTGGAAGAGCAGCCAGTGCTCTTAACCTCTGAGCAGCCATCTTTCCAACCCAGAAATGGCTTCTTATGCGAGGAGATCTACTTTACTGGAATTTGGAACATTTGCTTCTACTTAGGTTTCCTTCGTATTTGTAAAATGAGGGTTCTGATCCAGCTAACAGTTGAATAAGTGGGTTCTCTTCCTCAGTGAAGTTGCTGTGGGCTAGAACTTGGCCTGGGACGATGATACCCTGGCTACCCAGTTACAGGGGTGCCTCAGGCAGCATCCGCTACCAAAGGTGAGGCTGGAACTGAGGGAGAACCTGATTAACTCTACAGCTCCACTTGCTAATCATCACCTACCTTTTCCTACCAGTTTTAGACGTATCTCTGCGGCACGCTCCCATTAGCTTTGCTGTCAGTAACCCCTCTGATGAGAGAGGTCATGGGAGAACTTGGAGGCAGCTCAAAAGGACTAGAATGGGCCCGGCGGTGGTGGCACACACGATTAATGCCAGCACTCGGGAGGCAGAGGCAGGTGGATCTCTGTGAGTTCCAGATCAGCCTGGTCTACAAGAGCTAGTTCCAGGACAACCTCCAAAGCCACAGAGAAACCCTGTCTCAAAAAGCAAAAACAAAACCCAAACAAACAAACAACAGGGGGCTGGAATGGGCGGGAGAGATGGCTCAGTGGTTAAGAACATTTGCCTATCTTTGCAAGGATGCAAGTTTGGTTCCCCATACCCATGTCAGGTAGGTTAGAACTGCCTGTGATTCCAGCTCTGAGGGAACCTAGTCTCCTTTTTGGGCCTGACACTATACACACTACGCATACCCGCAGCCCATCTCTGGTGGGGCTTGAAAGTGCAGAACACATTATACCTTTTCCTTACTTCTAATCACCATCTCCACACCTCAGGCCCCCATAAACACCTCTAAAGCCTATAGTTGGGACGGCTGATTGGAAGCTCTTAACTCCTCACGATTGGCCACTATCAACTCAGTGATTGTTACTGTGCCAGGCTGGCAGAACAGGACTGTTTCCATCACAGGGCAGTCCTCTGGACTCTCTGGGTGCCAAGAAAGGAACAAACAAACACACCAAGTACTTTCCTTCTCTCCTGGACACAGAGCCTGGAGGTCTAAAGAGGAATGGAGAAGGTCTTATTTCGTACCAGGTGGAAATCAGCCAGTGAGGCCTTGAGATGAGATTTCCCTGCTCTGCAGGGAGCATCTGAGGATGCCAGAGCCAGATGTGTTATTCTGTACTCTCCTAAGCATGATAAAATCCTCATCAGGAGCAGTTCCTCCCTGTACACCACCCACCTAGTGGTGGCCAAGCCTGCCCTGGTCTTCCATTCCAGTGGTGTCTCCGGTTTCTCGAACACTTCTCTTCTTTTGGAAGGAAGGGCTCCAGCTGCTTCTGCATTGTCAGCAGGGTGCCTGCTGAAGGCAATCCACTCTGGAAGCATGCTGCATGTCTGGGTGCCCATCCCCCTCAGCAAAGCTCAGGCTTCCTCATTGCCACCTCCGTTCTCTGTTGAAGAGCTGCTTATTGATCTTGGTGCATTTCTCAAAGTGGCTGCACTCTTAACTCTACTCACAGCACAGACGACCCACAGAGCCATATCCTCTCCCGGGGCCGGGGTGGGGGGTGGGAGGATGGGGGCACAGCCCTCAGTGGTTTGGACAAATGCAAGGCTAGGGATGGGCATTCTAACCAGCACACCTTGCCCGTTTTCCCTTTGCACCCGGAAGGCCAGATCTGGATGGGTCCACCCAAGGTGCAATTCAGGACCTGGCACGGAGCAGGTGTCAGGAATGGGTTACCATGTTGCCTGCAGGCTAGAAAACATGCCGCTTCTCCACTGTGGCTTCCGATGCCATTAAGCAGCAGGTCAGCTGAAGCCAGCAGACTGGTGTGGTGGCTCTGGGGGAGCAAGGCACGATTGCATTCTCTAAGGCTGTAAGGGCATGAGTCATATAGGCCTGGGCAGGAGGCAAGATAGGGATGGCCCAGGCTGTAACTGGGTAGAAGCTGAGGCCAAGCCTGAGTCAGGCCCTAACAAGTTCCCATGTCCCCAGGCAAGTCACGTGACTCTTTCCACAGCAATCACCTCTACCCAGCTTGCTTTCCTCAGGCTGGGCTGTAGGAATAGTTGAGAAGGCCCTAGAAAACGTCTTGGATCTGTGGAGTGGAGATGGCAACTCCCTGGGACATGCCGGACCCAGAGTTCTGAGTGCTGCACGCAGTTTCACTTCATGAAGTCCTGAAGACAGGGTGACCCCAGCTTTTCTGTGTGTAGCATGGGATGTTTGTGTGTGCGCAGAGGTAGACATGCATGCTGTATGGGTGTGCACACGGCTGGCGTAAGGCAGAGAGCAATCCTGGGTGTTTGTTGTTCCTCAGGAGCGTGTTTTTTGAGAGTCTCCCGTTGGTTTACAGCTTGACAACCAGGCGAGGCTGCTGTCAGCTCAGGGGATCCTTTTGTCTCTGCTTCCCCAGTGCAAAGATTACAAGTGTTTGGTACCACAGCAGCTCTTTTTATTTTCTCTTTCCCTGAGACAGGGTTTCTTTGTGTAGTCTTGGCTGTCCTGGAACTCGCTTTGTTGACCAGGCTGACCTCGAATTCACTGAGATCCACCTGCCTCTGCCTCCCAAGTGCTGGGATGAAAGGCGTGCGCCACCACCGCCCAGCAGCTTTTTAAAAGACTGGTTCAGAGGATTGAACTCAGGTCCTTATGCCCACAAAGCAAGAACATTACTGACTGAGCTAGCTTCCGGCTCCACTCTTCTCTTTAAATTACAATTTTATGTGTATGGCTGTTTTGCCTGCATGTATGTGCACCATGTACATGCCTGGTGCCTGAGGCCAGACAGACTGAAGTCACAGCAGTGGAGTCAGTGAGGTTGCTCACTGGCTAGCAGCACTTTTTAATGAATTCTACAGAGTGGCAGGAAGAAACTGACTCCCGAGAGCCTTCTGGGAACTCACGTGCCTGCACACACACACACACACACACACTAAAATAAAAGAGATACACAGAAATCTTTAAAGTCGTAGCAGTCTCCCAAGAGCCCCGTGAACCGTGAAGCACAGCTGGAGGGGAGGGCAGACGCACCTCCCACCTTCTAAATTAGAAGTAGTTTAAAATAAGATGCCACATTAAAAAGACAGATTTTTATTTGTTAAACATAATTTAAAACTGTAAAAAAATATTTCTTCATCCATCACTATGACAACTGGAGAAGATTGGTTCTTTGCCCTGATAAGAGCTTGATGGAAAATAAAATCTCCTGTGCCTCCCCGGCCTCTCCACCTCCCACCCGCCCCCACCCCTGAAGAATGCTCAGCCACAGGGGCAGGAGTATTTTGCCTAGAGGAAAGGTGCCTCTATGCTTCTTTGGGAAAGCTGATGGGGGAAACCAGGGGTCATAGGTGGTGGAGGCCTGGCTGGCAGCCATATCCAGGCCAACATGAAACATCTGCTGGGCTCTCCCCAGGCACCTGGCTGGGTAAGTGGGAGGGTGGAATGAAGAGAGCTGCTGACCACAAATGAGCGCCCTGTGCCCTGGCCCTGAAATGACCTCTGCTGGCACAGGATGGGATGAGGGGAAAAAGGGATAAATAAAGGAGATTACAAGGAGGGTCACAGGCTCACTGAAGCCCCAGTTTGACAGCGGTGAGTCACGGCACAATGACTTTAAGAACTGGTGTGATGGCCAGTGGCATCAATATAGGTCACATCAGTGGAGAGACCTCTGTGGGGACTCCACTGAGGGTGGGTGGGCTCCCGAGCAGGGCTCATTTGCTTTTCCTAGAGGAAGAGAAGAATTAGAGGTCCGGCTGCCCTCTACTGGTGATTTCTGGAAATGACTACACCACAGCAGCAGACCCGGGAGTGGAGCCCACCAGAACAGTGCTCAGTGTGTGATTAGGACTTCTTGTGGGGGGCATCCCACAGATGGCAGCAGGCTCCTCCATCTCAGCTGGTCTATAGAGCGGCATGGGACAAGGTTTACTTCAAAGGCATCGAGAAAAATTTGTTCCCAGACTTGCAGCGGACCTGCTCAGCCAGCACACGCAACAGCACCTCAGAGTCTTCAAATTCATCCACGATTTCCTTCAGTCAGCAGCAGGGAGGTGACAGCCACGTTAAGGGGAATCGGACCCACAGGCACCACAAACAACACCAGTCCAGGAAACTGGGCAATACTGAGAGGGTTCCAGGTCATGAAGACTCCAGGATCTGCAATCACTATCATGTCCAATCACCTTAGCTTACCAATGAGGACACACATAACATTCTGGAGGCAGTAACTACCACGAAGTTTGGTTTAGTTTGGGACTGAGCTCTTTGCTGCCTTCCACAGGCCAAGGGGAAGGTGCCTATAGAGTGGATGGCCTGAACAGATTTTGACTTGTGAAGTATTTTTAAAAAAATCCAAATAAGACACTGGGGAGGCAGAGGCAGGTGGATCTCTTAGAGTTCAAGGACATTCTGGTCTACAAAAAGAGACCATGTTTTGAAAAAAAATCAAACATAAATAAACAAAGAAAAATAAATGATTTCCAAATCTGTTGCCAACACCGGAAAATGCGAACACTGCCCATAGAAATGTTGACCTCTGGCTTCCCTTGAGAAAAACAGGACTGCTACCAACCAAAGGCCATGCTGCTGCCTGCCTCCGTGCTCTGTCAGGCGCTGTGCAAACATTGCACATTCTTCCAGGGCATCGACAGGAGAGTCACCTGCTTTGCCTGCTAGCAAAATGTAGCCAGACATGGTGGCACATGCCTGCAATCTCAGAATCTTGTGATAGAAAGAACACTCCGAGTTTGAGGCTTGCCTGCTCTACAGTGAGTTCTAGGCCAAGCAAGGAGACATTGTGAGACTCAAAAGTGAGACCCGTAATGTAACAGGCTCTGAGGGCTGGAGGCCCCTCGTACCTGCCGTTCTTCCTCCACTTATAACTGCCAGATCCAAACCTCTGACCTCAGACAAATGTCTGCAGCTGAGGGGGAGGGGCTCACCCTGGTCATGTGTCGGGTTAAGGCAAGGCACACAAAACCCTAGAGGTTTTATTACACTGCGGTTCTGCTCCCCGGCCAGGGTGGGGCTGTAGGGTCACTTAGTTCCCAGCTGCTGCTGCTGCCGCCAGCTCAGGGATGACACTTTGGGCAGGAAGGGAGGGGATGAGGACCTCCTCTATGTCACTGGGTTTGCTACAGATTTAGGTTTCAGTATCCAATCTCCCCTTTCTGTCATTCGTTCCTCCCATCATTTGGGAGCTCAGTGCTCTGTGTCCCTGCCCTGGAAATTCACCTGTAGTTCCTGCAGGCACTGTCCCTCCAGCTGGAGACGAGCATCACCCACACACCAGGCCAGACTGACATGAAATGAAGGGTCCTAGGGAAGACAGGCAGGAATCAGGCCACCACTGGATGCCATGGCAGGCCCATCCATCACAGCAGTTCTATGACAGTCCCATCGGTCTCCCTGTAGGATCGCTGGCCTGCCCCCAGAGCTGAAGCCATGTCTCCTGCCCACACAGACAAAATAGCTTGTGCTGGTCCCCACTACAGACTGAATCGTACTCCCCCCCAAATGCAAACAGTGAAAGCCTAACCCCCAAGGTGATGGGGTTTGGATGTGATAGGGTTAGATGAGGGCACAGGATGGTGCCCTTAGAAAAAGAGATGTGGATGGGCAATGGCTCACAGGTTAAGAACACGGGCAGCTCTTCCAGAGGACAAAGGTTTGATCCCCAGTGCCCACCTGATGGTTAACAAGTCTAGTCCCAGGGAGATCTGATGCCCTCTTATGGCCGCCAACGGCACTGCATACACATGGTGTACAGGCGTGGAGGTAGGCAAAACATCCATAAGCACAAGAGTAATTAAAATTAAAGACGGGGAAGAGAGCTGTGCACTCCTTTCCCTCAATGAGGGAGGGAACAGTGACGGATGCCTCTTGCAAGCCACAGCCCTCATCATATAGGTGACTTCCAGGGCTAAAGGCATGCACTACCATGCTCAACTCTGGCTCTGTTTTCTGATCTAGAACATTCCAGCAGAGGCCATACTTTTCAGATTAAATGAACAAAACCCCCAAATGTCAACAATTTTGAAGAAACAATAATTATCTCTGTTAAAAAATAACTGCATACCTAGCATGGTTTCGCAAACACATTGAATAAAACCAATGGCCCGTTAGAGCTGTGACACTCAAGCTGGACTTGAGACCGCAGAAGGACATGGGGTGGTACAGTGAGGATGTGAAGCTACAGCTCTTCCTGGGAGTCATTTTACTAAGTGCTGGGGACAGCTACTCAGAAAAAACAAGGCAAATATGGATGCCTTACAGAGTAGAAAGACAAATCTCAAGACACACAAACAGTTTTCCGACATTGGACTCTGGCTAGACTACAACTGGTGATACCCCAGCCCCAATCCTGTGGCTGGCACTCAGGCTCCACACGGGGAGGTTCTTCGGTCTCTTTGGTTTGCTCTGATAGGGCTTCTCTGAGGGTGCTCTGCTCTAGACTGGCCAATGACCAGCAGCCCTGTGGCAGAAACAGTGATCCTCTCTGTTCACCTGCCTCAACCGTGTGCATTACCTGGTAGAAGGTAGTGAGGCCAAATTCTTCCATGACTCTGTCCACCTCTGAGACCAGGGCCAGGAACTGGGCATGCCCTGAACTGACCTCAAGCCCAATGAAGGTCCTAGGAAGAGTCAGGGAGACAACAGGGGCATAAAATGCAGCCTGTGAGAACACAAACCACACAAGTAGAAGCAGGCGCATCCAACAGGAAGTGCAGGGACTTGGGCTGTGGCTCACCCCATCTTCCTGTGCATGTCCCTGCTACTCCATGAACCAACTCTCCCTCCAGTCTCCCTCCTTCCCTCACTTAAGAACCTGCCTTCCCGTATGTCTCCTCTTCTCATGTCTACGGAGCCTTGCAGGGCAGCCTTCATCCACCACTGCATACCTGGCCCTCCTGCCCCCTCCTCTCTCTGGCAGCCTCCTGGACTCATCACTGTCTCCGAGCTCTGCTCTGTGGTACCCACTTCCTTATACAGGTGCTGAGAACTGCTGCCTTTAGTAACCGAATCCTTCCCTGACCCTGCCCTCATCCCATTCTCTATGAAACATTGTAAAACAAACAACAGACCATAGTCTGCTGTCTTCCTCTGTACTATCTAGACCCCTACCTATGGACCTCCCCCAGAAATGTTCTTGTCAAAGTGGCCAATGACTATAATGATCTCTATGCTATCAAAGCCACAAATCCTGTCCAGTCGATTCCCCAATCCTGGAAATCCTTCAGCTTATAAGTTATAGGGCCTAAATGAAGTATGGAGTGAACCCTTTCAGAGCAGCTGTGAGGGCCGGCTCAGTGAATGGACTGGACAGGGAGGCCCTACAGATAAAAATGCCCTCGCTTTTTTGTTTCTTTGTTTTTTGAGACAAGGTTTCTCTGTGTTGCCCTGGCTGATCTAGAACTCACTTTGTAGACCAGGTGGCCTCCAACTCACAGAGATCCACCTGCCTTTGCCTCCCCAGTGCTAGGATTAAAGGCGTGCACCACCACTGTTGGGCTGAAAATGCCCTCTTAAGTTCACTTAATGCTTTAGGATTTCTAACTTTTCAAGCCTCATTGGCTCCTTTGGCAATGGATGAATAAGGGGACGTGAGAAACGGTGCAGGAGGGAGATAACAGGAGCTCATCACCATGGCGGAGGGAGCCGGACAGGGACCGGCTCACCTTCACAGGCTGCCTCCATACTGCGATAGCTCTCCATCTGCACCGCTCCTAAAATCCCTCAGCTCTTCTGAGTAAGCTTGGGTTTCGTTTATTTTTAAAAAACAAATTTATTTTTGGGAAGAGGTGCCCGGCAAGTATATGTGAAAACGAAATGCATCCCCTCTATCTTTGCGATGAAGTTAAGGACCCACCTGGTTTTTTCCTGGTTGGTATAAATCTTCACCTGGCCGGCAGTGAAGAAGAACCTGAAATTGAAAAGGAGAAGGATATCTCAGGAAACAAAAGGGAAGGAGTACAGTAGTCCACGCTGTAAAAACCAGCACTTTGGGCTGGGGATGGTGATGGGTATCTACACTCAGGAGCCTGAGACAGAAGATCGCAACTTACAGAAAGAGTCTACCTCAAACAGAAAAGAAACATCAGCCCCAAGACACCTCCCCAAAAAGCACTTTAAAGATGTAATTAATGCACTTTACAAGTCAATACTGTTACTCCACGATTTAAGTGGAAATTTGAACTAAAAATATCTTATAGTTAGACAAGATGATAAATTACCCTTGCAGTATGTAGTAGTGTCCAGGTACCAGCAAAAAGTTGGCTTTGCTAAGAGTGGTTCATCCCAGGAAACAACCTGAAGCCACCAGCTTTACTGACACTAGCTTCACCTAGGTTCTGTGTAGCATGTTGTGCAGTGTACCTGAGAAAGTCACCCGTCGTGTGGGTGAAAACAGACAGTTGACATGACCCTGTGAGGCACAGACAAGAAAATGGACCTGGTGAGGCTGAATTTGATGAGGCAGGAGTTGAGGCTCAGTCCGTTTGATTGCAAAGTCCTTGTTCTCACCTAAAAAGGGAGTCTCTGTTGAAGTGCAGAAACCCTACTCACTCAGCACCTGTATTAGTTACACAGGGACCAGAGTCAGGGTTGCACTGCCTAGTGCTGTAGAATAATCCTTCTGTACACTGTGAAGATGTGTTGCTCTCACTGTTAATAAAAAACTGATTGGCTAATAACTAGGCAGGATTTTCAGGGCAAAGAGAATGCTGGGAAGAAGGCTGGAGTCTGGGGAGTCCCAAGCCAGACAAGTAAGAAGCAACACAGGAAGTTCATAGATGAGGTGATGAACCTCGGGGCAGCACATAGATAATAGAAATGGGTTCATTTAAGTTGTAAGAGCTGGCTGGAGACAAGCCTAAGCTATCGGCCAGGCATTTATAAAATATTAAGTCTCTATGTGGTTGTTTGGGAGTGGCTGCTAGGACACAGAGAAACTCTGCCTACAGCCTAGTTTTGGTCATCTCAACTCAATAAACTAAGGTTTGCAGCTTGTCTAGCTTCACTGAGGACAGAGGGCAGCAAACAGAGCAAGGACATCAAATCCATCTCCTCAAAGACGCCAATCTGACAGTCTCTGGTCCTCAAGTGAGTAGGGCAACAGGTTACACACATGTCTCACAGAGAATGATACCTCTTGCAATGGCTCTTGGGCAGTTTCCAGAGGTCCCATCAAGGTGCTTGCTCCATTAAAGAACTAGTACCCACTAGAAGGCTGAGGGAGTGGCTTCCCACCAGACCTTATTCATGAATTCTCATGCGCCGGTGTCTCACTTTCAAGCAGCATGCCTGATGTGCACCTCAGTCTTGTTACCACGACAATGCTGCTGATCACCCCGCTTGAATGCTAGTTTGCCCAGGAAACAGAGCTCCAAGAAGATAAAGGCAGCATTCTCTGGAATAAGGGGAAAGGACATTTCTATTCTTTACTTACAAGGGGAGAATATGAACAGAGTCAGACTAGCCTAAGTTACTCCCATGACTTCTGCTGAAACCGTGTGTGTGTGTGTGTGTGTGTGTGTGTGTGTGTGTGTGTGTGTGTGTGTGTGTGTGTGTGTGAAGCCTGGGGGTTGGAGAGAGAAAGATGGCTCAGTGATTGGTGATTAAGAACACTTGAACACTTGCTGTGCAACCATAAGGACTGGAATTGTGATACTAGAACCCAACTAACAAGTTGGACATTATGTGTGCACCTGTAACCCCAGCTATAAGCTGGACAGGGACAGAGGGTCCCTGGGGCTTGCAGGTTTCCAAGCCTAGCCAAGAAAACACAAGCTCAAAGTTTGGGAAAGGCCCCGTCACAAAGGAATAGGCAGAGAATGACAGAAGACAGCTGAAGCCTTCTTTTGGCCTCCACATGCAGAGGCACAGACTCTCACACACACATGCATGAACGTGCACACATACCCCCCACTTTAAATTTTTATTTTTCTCATTTTTTTTTGTGCATGGGTATTTTTCCTGCATGTACGCGCAGCTGTGCATCATGTGTATGGGGGCCAGAAGAAGCTAGAGCTACAGACAGTTTGAGCTGCCAATTGGAGCTGGGAACTGAATCCAGGTTCTCTACAAGAACAGCCAGTGCTCTCAAGCATCTGCTCTCAAGCCCGATAAACACATTTTAAATGAAGCCTGAAGGGTGGGGAGGATAGTGCAATTGGTAGAAGTAGTAGCCAGACAAGGGTGAGGGTGTGAATTCAAAACTCTGGACCCCAGGTAAAAGCTGGACACAGTGTGAACATCTGTAATTCCAGTGCTCCCATCAGGAGGTGGGACAGAGATGCGGGGATCCCAGATGCTCATGGGCTAGGTAGCCTGAGACACACAGAAAAAAAAAAAAAAAAAAAACAACAAACAAACGAAAAACCTCTCAAACCAAAAGAACTACCAAAAACCAACAAAGAGCTCCATGTCAAGCAATGCGGAAGGTGAGGAGCAACGCCTGACGTGTACATGCATGCTGAGGAACGCATGTCTATACTCACATAAGAAGACACATGCACTGCTGGCTCCCTTGTCATCGAGAGAAGGAAGCCAACCTCGTGGGACAGAGCTGAGACAGCACACTCAGGCTCCTCTGGCTACCTCCATCTACTCGTGCATGACTAGGGCTGTCTCTGCACCTGTCTGTAATTCCCTTTGGGTGAAGCCAGTTTAGGTTGGGTCCTGACACCTGTGATAGACCTGATACTATACAGCTGGCAATAAACCTGATATTTACAGATGATAAATATGCAGCTGGAACTCACAGTGGGCTAGACTGAGATGTGCTTTATCCTGATTTTCTCACCTACTGACTGCTATGGAGCAAATTCTTTCCCCTTCAACCAAATAGAGAGCTTTTCCATTTGAAAGAGTCGCACTCCAGACTCCCTGAGCCTCAGGCCCCCTGAGCAGTGGGCTTGGGGATTCACCAGAAGACTTCTATTTTCACCCATCTCATGCCTTCACAGGGGCATCTATGAAGAAAGACTCTGTAGACAGGGCTGGAGAGATGCCTCAGCGGGTAAGAGCACTGGCTGCTTTGGCAGAGGACTAGGGTTCAATTCTCAGCACCTACACAGAGGTTCACAACTTTCTGTGTCTCTGATGCCTTCTTCAGACCTCCACCAGCACAGGCACATACATACATACACACAGGCAAAACACTTATACAGGGGTTGGAGAGATAGCTCAGTGATTAGGAGCACTGACTGCTCTTCCAGAGGAAACATGTTCAATTCCCAGCACCTACATGGCTGCTCACAACTGTCTGTAACTCCAGTTCCAGGGGATCTGGCACCCTCACACAACTTACATACAGGTAAAACACCAATTCACATAAAAGAAATAAATAAAAAAACACTCATATAACATAAAATAAATGTTTTTAAAAATCAGTGGTGGCACACACCTTTAATGCCAGCACTCTGAGTTTGAGGCCAGCCTGGTCTACAGAGAGTTCCCGGACAGTCAAGGGTACACAGAGAAACCCTGTCTCGAATAACAAACACAAAAACCTTTTAAGAAGACTGAGATGAAATCAGATTACAAAATACACTAACAAGAGAGTTCTGTGAGTTCTTTGTAGGACCAGCCCTCAGAGTTAGGACTTCTTCACCTGCCCAGTCCTGAGCAAGCACCTACTGATTCCTGGAGGAGGTCATGGGCAATCAGAGAGATGCCACAGTGGGGGGTGGGGATCAGCTCTGGCTCCAGGAGGGAGGAGGGGCATGAGTACATGTAAGGATGAGTGGATGGGCTCTGGGGCCATCAACAGCAGCAGGACCAGGTGCTGCTGGCACTAAGGGTCCTGAAAACCACTGGGAAAGACTTGGCAAAAGAGTAGGCAAGGACATGCAAAACTCAAGTCCAAACGGATCAAAGACCTCAATATAAATCCATCCACACTGAGCCTCACAGAAGAGAAAGTGGGAAGTAAATTTGAATGCATGGGCACAGGAAACCACTTCCTAAATAGAACACCAGTAGCACAGACACTGAGAACAAAAATTAATAAATGGGACCTCCTGAAACCGAGAAGCTTCTGTAAAGCAAACATGGTCAACAAGATAAAAGGACTTCCTATAGAATGGGAAAAGATCTTCACCAACCCCCCATCTGACAGAGAGCTGATCTCCAAAAATAAAGAACTCAAGAAACTAGAAATCAAACTACCAAATAATCCAATTAAAAATGGGGTTCAGATCTAAACAGAGAATTCTCAACAGAACAATCTCAAATGGTGGAAAGACACTTAAAGAAATGCTCAACATCCTTAGTCATCAGGGAAATGCAAATCAAAACTACTCTGAGATTCTACCTTACACCGATCACAATGGCTAAGATCAAAAACATCAATGACAGCTTGTGCTGGAGAGGATGTGGAGTAAGGGGAATGCTCCACCATTGCTGGTGGGAGTGTAAACTTATACAGCTGCTGTGGAAATCAATATGGCGATTTCTCAGAGAAGTAGGGATCAACCTACCGCAAGCCCCTGCAATTCCACTGTTGGGCACATACCCAAAGGAGGCACATTCACACCATAAGGACATTTGCTCAACTATGTTCTTTTGTTGTTTTTTTGTTTGTTTGTTTGGTTTTTGGTTTTCTCTGTATTGTTTTGGAGGCTGTCCTGGTACTCACTCTGTAGACCAGGCTGGCCTCGAACTCACAGAGATCTGCCTGCCTCTGCCTCCTGAGTGCTGGAATTAAAGGCGTGTGCCACCAATGCCCGGCCATTCAACTATGTTCTTAACAACATTATTTGTTTTTAGCCAGATCTTGGAAACAAACTAGATGCCCCTCAACTGAAGAATGGATAACGAAAATGTGGTACATTTACACAATGGAGTACTACTCAGTGGTAAACAATGACATCCTAAATTCGCAGGCAAATGGACAGAACTGGAAAAATCCATCCTGAGTGAGGTAACCCAAAACTAGAAGACAAATACAGTATGTAGTCACTCATAAGTGGATACCAAACATAAAGCAAAAGATACCCAGCCTATAATCCACAACTGCAGAGAAGCTAGAACCCTCTTCCAGAAACAGATGGAAGCAGATGAAGAAATCCACAACTACCCATTGGGCCAAGCTCCTGGAGTACAATCAAAGTGAGGGAGGAGCGATATGAACAAAGGAGTCAAGACCATGATGGGGAAACCCACAGAATCAGCTGACCCAAGCTAGTGAGAGATCACTGACTCCAGGTCTGACAAATGGGGAACCTGCATAAGACAAACTAGACTCCCTTAACGTAGGTGACAGTGATGTGACTGGCGCAATATATGAGGCTCGGGCACAAACTGACTTAGCGGAGCCCATTCTATATGGAGAGATTCCTTGCTCAACCTAGACATAGGGGTGTGGGGTGGAGAGGTGCCTTGGTCCTGCCTCAACGAGACAATGGGACAGACTTAGTAGACTTCCTACAGGAGGCCTAACCCTCTCCGAGGAGCAAATGGGAAGTGGGGGTGGGGGGAGGGGAGCAGGAGGAAAGGAAGGAGGGGGAACTGGGATTGGGATGTAAATAATAATAATAATAAAGTAGGCAAGGATTTCAGGAGCAGTATAGATAGGTGAGTGTGGAAATGCCCTAAGTTGGTAGAGAAAACTGGAGGGGCCGGTGGTGACCTTTCTAACCCTCCCTACACGCCTCTTCTGTCACTCTTCACTTCTGACTTCTAAAGTGTCCTTTCTAGGGGATGGGGACGCAGCTCGGTGACACAGTGCTTGTGTCCACCTCTCTCTCCTTTGTAGGTCTGTGTGTGGTGGCTCACGCCTATCCTAGTACTCAGGTAGCTGAGGCAGGGTTGCAATAAACCCAAGGCCAACCTGGTTCAGGGAGCCTGCCTGCCTCAGTAAACAAGTAAATAAAATTCTGTGTCAAGGTGGGAATCTAGGAATTGAGCTGTGCTCTTCAATTTTGTGACACCTTCTAGTAGACGTCAATAGGAGGAGCTGGGGGTGGGGTCATAGGAAGCTCTGATCTGTAACAAAATCAGAGTTCTTGGCTAACCTAGGGACCCAATGTGAGCTGGCATCTACCATAGAGGGCATCTTGTGGGGTGAAGCGCTTAGCCTGCGAGGTTGTACTAAGTCTGGGGCATTGGTGTCAGAACTAAACTAAACTGTAGGACGCCCAGCCAGCATCTGGAGAGCTGCAGAAGTGTTGGTATAGGAGAAGCTCTTACACATCTCACAACAGACGTGCTGGGAATCCTACGTGTCAGTTTAGAGGCATAAGGCAAGGTTTCTGTGTGCAACACAGAGGAAGCGCCATGGATACCTTACGTGAGGTGACTGCATCACACTGGATGGGACACAGCAGCCTCAGGTCGTTAGGTCCGGCCTGCTCGCCTGGCACCATCCCCATCTCCAAGCACACCAAAGCCCAGGAGGGAGAGGAAGTGACTGAAGGGGGAAGTGCTCACCTTTGGAAAGAGGCCATGTGGTCTTTGAGCGTCTGCACAAAGGGGAGGATCCAGTGGTGTCGGAGAACCACGCTCTGGGACAGGCTGAGGTGGAACTCCTCCATCCGCACCAATCGGGGCACGAATGTCTGAGCTCGGGGCAGCAACGTGTCAAGCAGATCCAGGAACTCTTCCTTCGCCTCATCTAGTGGAAGAGTAGACTGCCTCTTAGTCAAGCTGCCACAGATGAATAAAAAGCCCAGAGGCAGAGAAGCCCTTATTAGCCTGGTTTCAGGAGTAGCTTGTATCTGGACAGTTTACCAATATTTTAATGTGAATGTCTTTTCGAATAAATGTATTATGATATGTATGATATGTATGGGCATAAAGTTTTCTTAAAGCAACCGACCGGTCTCTGTGTCATCTATCCCGACCACCTCGCTACATTCTCGGATGCAGGCTGCTCAGCAGGTGCGACAGTGCTTTCCCCTGTTCCTCTAAGTGTTTCTACCCCCGGGTGCTGAGATTAAAGTCATGCCAGCCTAAAGCATCTTTATGCCAATACCAAGCTGTTTTCATTACTATAGCTCTATAGTCGAGTTTGAAGTCAGGTATGGTGATGTCTCCAAAGTTCCTTTATTCTACAGGGTTGTTTTGATTATCTGAGTTTTTTGTTTTTCCATATGAAATTGAGTATTGTCCTTTAGAGGTCTGTGAAGAATTGTGCTGGGATTTTGATGGGGACTGCATTGAATCTGTAGATTTCTTTTGGTAAGATTGCCATTTTTACTACGTTAATCTTATCTATCTAAGAGCATGGGTGATTTTTCCATTTTCTGTTGTCTTCTTTAATTTCTTTCTTTAAATACTCAGTTCTTGTTGTACAGGTCTTTCACTTGTTTGGTTAAAGTTACCCCAAGATATTTTGTTATTTGTGGCTATTATAAAGGGTGTTATTTCTGATTTCTTTCGCAGCCTGTTTATCATCTGTATATGGGAGGGCTATTGATTTTTTTTTTTGAGTTAATCTTGTATCCTGCTACTGAACGTGTTTATCAGTTGTAGTTCCCTGGTAGAATTTTTGTTGTCACTTTTGTAAGCTATCATATCATCTGCAAATAGTGAGAGTTTGATTTCTTCTTTTCCAATTTGTATCCCCTTGATCTCCTTTTGTTGTCTTATCACTCTAGCTAGAACTTCGAGTACAATATTGAATAGATAGGGAGAGAATGGACAGCCTTGTCTTGTTCCTGATTTTAGAGGAATCACTTTGAGTTTCTCTCCATTTAGTTTGATATTGACTGTTGGCTTGCTATATATTGCCTTTATTATGTTTAGGTACATTCCTTGAATCCCTGATCTCTCCAAGACCTTTATCATGAAGGGGTGTTGGATTTTGTCAAAGGCTTTTTCAGCATCTAAAGAGATGATCATGTGGTCTTTTTTTTCTTTCAGTTTGGCATCTTTATACATATCTGCTTAAATTTTGGAACAATCAAAATGTCCTTTGGCAGGTGAACATGCTGTGGTAGAGCCAGACAATGGAATACTAGTTAGCACTAAAAATAAATGAACTATCAAGTACGACAAGGCACAGAGGAACCTTAAATGCACACTACTAAGTCACAGAAGCTGATCTGAAAAGGCTACATACTAAGTGATCTCAATTCGGTGACGTTTTGGAGAAGGCAAATTTGTGGAAACAGGTTTGGAGGAAGGTAGAAATGGCTAAGTTAAGCACAAAGGATTCGTACAGCAGTGATATCACTCTGCATGATAGTGTAGATGTACATAGTTTAAGTTTGTCTAAACTCACAGAATGTACAACACCAAGATTTATCCACAATATAAACCTTGAAGCCTGGTGATTATAATATGGGCTCTCGTTGAGTGGTGGTGGCACACACCTTTAATTTCAGCATTGGCGAGGCAGAGGCAGAGGCAGGCAGATCTCTGAGTTCTAGGGCAGCCAGGACTACACAGAGAGACCTTGTCTCAAAAAACCAAAAATAAGTGGGTTCATTCATCTGTTGTGAGAAATGTTGCACTTTGCCGGTGGATGCTGATAATGGGGGAGTCTACACAAAATTAGAGCCCCCACTTTGTGTACTATGCTGAGAAGTTGACACTGCTGTTTGATTTACTCTTCTGAAGAGATAGACATTATTACCCCACTTTAGGGGTGTGGGGATGGGGACCCCGATCCAGCCCGTCACTTCCGCAGGGCCAGGCTGGGATGAGTCTAGCACACAGGGACCTGCTGCCTTCCTCCTAGCCACAGTCAGGAGGCCCTTGTTTGGGCCCTCTGCATGACTCACACGGAATGTAGATGTGCGTGGCCCAGTTGCCCCGCTCGTGGGGAAAGGTGCGGATGCGGCCCCCATGCTTTTCACTGTCGTCCTCAGGCCCCTCCTCTGTGTTAGAGAACATGCTCACCACACTGTCAGGTACCGGGAACCTCTGAGTGGGAAGGGAGCTCTGACCACTGCAAAAGAAGAAAGAACAGGCATTTTCTCCCTTTGCACATACAACGAAAGGTCTAAGCCTCTATGTACAGGAACTCTTTCCACAGCAGCCTTGCTGTGTAGTACACACTGGCCTCAAATGTGATCCTCCTTCCCTCAGCCACCGTGGCTGAGTGTAGATCTCCGGGAAGGTGTTTGAGTTTCTAGAGAGCCATACCTCTCTAGAACTACTGAAGTTTCCCAGCTACTCTGGGAGGCAGACCTCAGCAGAACTCTTGGTCCCTATGGGAACACTTGAGCAGGCAGCAGTGTGGCTTGGAGGTCCTTATTACCTAGCTAGACAGGCCAGAACTGAAGTAGCTCTGCGATCTTGTCGTATATTAATTTTTTAGGGCTTATTTATTGATTGTGGATATAGAGTTCTGCCTGTAGGCCAGAAGCGGGCACCAGATCTCATTACAGATGGTTGTGAGCCACCATGTGGTTGCTGGGGATTTCAGGACCTCTGGAAGAGAAGCCAGTGGAATGCTCTTAACCTCTGAGCCACCTCTCCAGCCTGTCGTATATTAATTTCCTCGCGTGTAAAGCATATTTCTATTTGCTAGAGCTCTTGTGCATTGAGCTGACAACATACTGCACTCAGCAAAGATCGGTATTTAAGAACCTAAGGCCCTTCATGTACAACATTCCCACGGGTTTTGCACCAGTCCGGGGTATCCAGTCTCCTCCAGTGTGGCTCCCGGTGGCTGTTCACTGACGAACGAAAAGCTTTGGTTATTATTGCATTGTGTTCAAATGAGGAAACAGATCTTGGAAGAAACATGCTTGCACACCAAGGGAGAAAAATGCACGGACTAGGGGTGGACTAGAACCCGTATCCTCACTCTCAACCTTGCCTCAGCCAAGGGTGTGCGTGTGAGCCATTTTGGGGCTTTGTCCAGGGTGTGCTCTGAACCCTCCTTTCCCTCGACGTCCCCTTTTATTCTTTCCGGGGAACCGACCCACCCTCCCGGGCATCCCGGAGGCTCGGATCCCACCCGGGTTTTCAAAAGAATCGCGCCCTCGCGATAGAAACTCCCTCGCTCCTCACCAACGGCGGCCCCCCGACCCGGGCTTGCTCCGCCCTGCGGCGGAGGCCTCGGTTTCATCCTCGGAGCCGCTGCTGCTGTAGCCCACCAGGGGCGCCGCGCTCATGGGGTCTTGACCACCGGCGGAATACGCGGGCAACCTAGGCCAGCGCCCCGAGTTCCGCTGAGCCGGAAGTGCTCGCTGGGGCGGGACCTAGAGTAGTTCCACCTCGGGGCGGGGCCTTGCGGCGGAGGGGGCGGAGCCCAGAGGACTACCGCAAACTGCGCTCGGCGGCTACGCGGTAAGTGCTGCAGGCGGTCTTCGGGAGCGCTCGGTCGCCCTAGTGCCCCAGTGCGGGTCCGCCTGTCAGACCTGCACGAAGTCAGGGCCCCAGGGTCCCTCCTGAGAGCGAGCTGAGCCTGAGCGGCGCGTCAGCTGCAGAAGACCGGAGCGTCGGGTGGGACGGGCCGGGGCTGGGGCTGGACCCGGACCCGGGCGCCTCGGCTCCGTAGGCTTCGGTGAGCGGATCCCGAGGCTCCAGCCCCGCCCCTCCGTACCCAGAGGCTCGGGCCGGCCGGGCCGCGGGTCCCCGGCAGGGGGCGGCCTCGCACCGTTCCTCGGGTTCCTCCGCAGCCGCCGCCCGGGCCGCGGCTCCTCCCCCGGCCCCGCCTCCCCGGCCTCGCGCCGCCCGCCAGTCCGCCGGTCTCTGCAGGACCGTCTGTCTGTCCGCTCGCTCGTCCGTCCGCTGCCCGGGTCCCGCTAGCCCGAGTGCGCGAGTCGATTCATCGGTTCCGGCCGCCACAAACCCCGTCTCCTGCCCCCGGGACGCCCGCCTCTGCTACGCGAGGCCGCGGATTGGCAGGGTGCGTAGGCCGCGCCGCGGCGGATGGAGCCGGAATAAAGAGGCAGCCGAGAAAGCAGCTGGTCTCTGCTCGCCCCGCGCCTGTCCCCACGGGCGGCCTGGAGCAGGTGAGCGACAGGGCACTCGGGGCTGGATCTGGGGGCCACTCCAGTACCCACCACTCCTCGGGAGAGCCTCCTGAGCTCTGGGGCGGCCCTGGCCAGGCCTGGAAGTACAGTCGCTTCCCGGGCACGGTTTGAGGCTCTGGGGCCTTCTTCGGCCCGAGCCACCCTTTCTTGGGACGTAGCGGCTGGGCCATCCGGAGCAAGAGCTGACAGGAGGCAGCCCAGCTGGGCCTGATGGGAGGTTACCAGCTTTCATTCAGTTACCCGGAGAGGAAGCAGGGCTGGGGTGGGGCGCGAGTGGGGGCTTCTTGCCTTTCCTCCGCTCCCCTACTCTCTCCTGCCCTTTGCGGGAGTGATCTGAGAGTGTTCCTGGCTTTACCTTCCTGGAGAAGGGTCAGAGAAGACAGTGGCTTTGCTCCGGGTGGTGGGGAGTGGGGGTGGCCGCTGGGGCTGACAGCCATTCATACCAGGAAAAATAACACACAGTTGGATTGGTCCAACTAGACCAGGTGCCTTCAGAGCAGTCCAGCGCTCCTCTCTGCCTCAGGAACGCTAGAATGGCCAGCTGTGGCTGCGTGTTCACACTCCTCGGTACCACACAATGCAGCAGCACCTTTATTCCCTCCTTTCCCAGAAGTTGCTGCCACGGGTGGCAGCTCAAGCTTGATTCTTAGTTTTCTTTAGCGGAACAGTTAGAAGTCAGGCTGGCTTGTGAGGTCATTCTCTACCTTCCTCCTCCTAGAGAAAACTTACAAACTTTTAAATCTAAGCGGCTGATGAACTAAGAACCTGGGCAGGGGTTGCCTTTGGATCCCAAAGTTCCTCTCTATCATTCTGCTGCCTCAGAGTGGTGAATTAAGAGAGTTGCTGGGGGCAGGGTGGGCTTGGTCTTGCATCGATTATTGTGAATGTTTGGGACCTGGAAGAGAAACCCCCTGTGGGATGCTTTATCCTGTATAAAATAGTACACTTTATTGCATTGTGTTCCTCTGGGAGATGACTAGAGTACAGAAGGTCGGCCTGGATTTCCACTCTGGGTGGGTCTGTGAACCTGCCATTTAACCCTCCTTGCCAGGGGTTCAGGTCCCTGCAAGGCCGTTCATCCTGTTATAGCTAGAGATGCATGTGCTCTGGGAAACGCCTGGAGTGCAGGTGAAGAGGAGCCTGGACCAGTCCCTTAAGGAGAGGGTTTGTAGGTGGTCCTTAATTCTGCTGTCTTAATATTGGCGTCCAGAGTTCATTTGCCTTAGGACTGGTTGGGGGTGTGACCTTTTTTTGCCCGCAGGCTTCTCCGTGGTCTCTAAGCAGAGTTGTCCTCATGTTAATGTGAGAGAGGCTTTCAGGCCTTAGGGACAGGTCACCCCAGACCCTGTGAGACACCTGACTAAGGCCACATGGAAACTAGAGGGGATTTGTGGAGGCTGAGATGCCCTGCCCCTTCTCCTTTGCTTGGAGGAGTGGAGCTGCCACAGACTTCTTTGATAACACGTGAAGGGGCAGGTTTCCAGCCCTGAGCATCTCCCTCCCCTAAGGTAGCTTATGTCCGTGCAGTGAGTGTGGGCAGCATGGGAAAGATAAGGGAAGGGCTACTTGTTCATGCCTCAAGTTCACTGTGTCTCTCTTCCCTACAGAACCGATTACTGGGGAAGGCAGAGCCTTCTCGGCATTGCTGGGACCCTGTCTCGAAGAGCCCCCTGACCTGTAAACACTGCCTTGTAGGCTGTCTTGGCTAATGACAAGGGCTGTCTGACCAGTCCTCCTCTGTGCCTTGTGTGAGGTTCTTGTCCGTCCCTGAGACCGGTAGCTTCTCTCTCAGAGTTGGGTTCACCTTAAGCGGGAAACTGAAGCCATTACTGTCCAAACCCAGTTTCATCTTCCCAAGCATGTCGGAAAGCTGGCAGCAGCCACCACAGACGCAGCCGCAGCAGCCACAGCCACCACAGCCTCAGCACCATGCAGAGCCACCACCAGCCCTGGCCGAACACACGCTGCCCCCAGGCACGGCTGAGAACCCACTAGGCTGTGCTGTGTATGGCATACTTCTGCAACCTGACCCAGGCCTGCAGCCTCCACAGCATGCACCCCTGCAAGCGGGGGAGCCAGGCCCCAAGTGTGGTGTGTGTGGCCATGACCTGGCACACCTCTCCAGCCCACATGAGCACCAGTGTCTGGCAGGCCATGACCGCTCATTTCAGTGCACACAGTGTCTCAAGATATTCCATCAGGCCACCGACCTGCTGGAACACCAGTGTGTGCAGGCAGAGCAGAAGCCTTTTGTCTGCGGCGTCTGCAAAATGGGCTTCTCGCTGCTCACCTCGCTGGCCCAACACCACAGCTCCCACACTGGCATGATGAAGTGCTCCATCTGCGATAAGACCTACAAGCCAGCTGAGGCTGCTGAACCAGCCACCACCACTGCCCCATCGCTGCCCCCGGCACCTCCACCCACCAATGTTGCCCCTGCAGAGCAACCCGAAAAGCCCTATAGCTGCACCATCTGCCAGAAGCCCTTCAAGCACCTGTCTGAGCTGTCACGGCACGAGCGGATCCACACTGGAGAGAAGCCGTACAAGTGCACCCTGTGTGACAAGAGCTTCAGCCAGTCCTCACACCTGGTGCACCACAAGCGCACACACAGCTCCGAGCGGCCCTACAAGTGCGCCGTCTGTGAGAAGACCTTCAAGCACCGCTCCCACCTGGTGCGCCACATGTACGCACATTCGGGCGAGCACCACCTGTTCCGCTGCAACGTGTGCGAGCTGCATTTCAAGGAGTCGTCGGAGCTGTTGCAGCACCCTTGCACCCCGAGCGGCGAGCGGCCTTTTCGCTGCGGTGAGTGCCAGAAGGCCTTCAAGAGGCCCTCAGACCTGCGGCAGCACGAGCGCACGCACAGTGCGGAGCGGCCCTTCAAGTGCGACCTGTGCCCCATGGGCTTCAAGCAGCAGTATGCTCTCATGCGGCACCGGCGCACGCACAAGACGGAAGAACCCTTCAAGTGCGGCCTGTGTGAGAAGGGCTTCGGGCAGCCCAGCCACCTGCTCTACCACCAGCACGTGCACACCCTGGAGACTCTCTTCAAGTGCCCCGTGTGCCAGAAGGGCTTCGACCAGTCTGCTGAGCTGCTGCGGCACAAGTGCCTGCCGAGCTCCACAGAGCGGCCCTTCAAATGCCCAGTGTGTAGCAAGGCCTACAAGCGTGCGTCTGCCCTGCAGAAGCACCAGCTGTCGCACTGCGCTGCTGCGGAGAAGCCTCTGCGCTGCACCCTGTGTGAGCGCCGCTTTTTCTCCTCCTCGGAGTTCGTGCAGCACCGCTGCGACCCAGCCCGGGAAAAACCACTCAAGTGCCCGGACTGTGAGAAGCGCTTCAAGTACGCGTCAGACCTGCAGCGTCACCGGAGGGTGCACACGGGTGAGAAGCCCTACAAGTGCCCCAACTGTGATAAAGCTTTCAAGCAGCGCGAGCATCTCAACAAGCACCAGGGCGTGCACGCCCGCGAGCAGCAGTTCAAGTGTGTGTGGTGTGGCGAACGCTTCCTGGATGTGGCCCTGCTCCAGGAGCACAGTGCCCAGCACAGCGCTGCTGCTGCAGCTGCAGAGGGCGCCTACCAGGTGGCCGCCTGCCTGCCCTAAGGCCTTGGGGCCACCACGTGTCCTGTCTAGTCTCGCCTGCTCTGCTGCATGGCAGCAAACCTGTCAAACAGCTCCTTCCTCAGGAGTGAGGACCAAAGGGTTCTGGGCAGGTAGAGGGTGTGCATGTTCAGTACTCCTAACACTGGCCAGGCCATTGGAGGAGCCAGACTACTGTGGCCAGACCAGGTTCCCTTAACCTCTTCCCCATGACAGGACTGGCTTTCTGAGAGCCTGCGGCCCCCCTTATCTATAGAGAACTTGAATCCCACCTGTAGTGAGGTGCCTCTCTGCCCCAGGCATGAGGGTTGCCAACCCAGCCTTTCCAAATTGTTCAGCCTAGTTAGAAGCCAGGTGGCTTGGGAATAAGGAAGTAGAGTTTCTTATCAATTTGCTTTCTTTTGGGGGGGGTGCAAAGTCCAGGTTTGTTGCAGTTCTGGGGACTTAAGAGTGTAGACCATGAGCTACAGTCCTCTGTCTGCCCAGCTAGGATGAATGTGCCCCAGCCCCAAGTTTCTGATAGTTGAGCTATGTAGGATAGGAGTCTTTGGGCAGGGTGTGTTTGGAACCTAGGGGCCCAGTCAGGGTGGGGGAAGCAGAAACATTCCATGACACACTCAGGTCAGCCAATGCTGTCCACAGGGAAGGGACAAATGGCCTGTGTGCTGAGGGCGATCCTGTGTCTGTGGAAGCCCCCTCCTGCCTGTGCGTGGTTCTGAGCTTCAGGGGAGTGAGTGCACCCTTAGCAGAGCTGCTGTTGTAGAGGGGGAGGGCTGTTGCCTTGCCTCAGCCTGGGGTGGGCAGGAAGGAAGACGAAGCCCATGATTTCCCCAGCAGTTATTAACAGGTCCCCTCTTCCCAAATTGTGTGAACCAAAGTGTCTGGGCTTCAGCTTGTCCTAGCTCTGCCTGAGGGCCAGATGGAATTCTGGGTACCCAGGGTGAGGAATGGCTTCTCACCCCATAGAGCACTTGTAGCTCATGAGTACCATGAGCCATCAATCTGGCTGTGGGCTTGGGCCCTAAGGATCTTCTGTTGCCAAAACAACCCACTCTCCTTTGAGTCCCAGAGTCCCCTTAGGTCTTCGGCTACTGTAGCAACATGGGGGCACAAGGATAAAGGAAAGGAGCCTAGTAGGCAGCATTCTTAGCAGGTACACGATCAGCCACCACCACTGGACTGTCAGAGCCACCTCAGGAGCCTGGAAGACCTTTGTTATCAGAGTCATCATTCTGAACCCAGCCCTGCCCGTGCCCTCCCCAACCCACCCCCCAATCCATGACTCTTGAAAGACTGACCAGCATCCAAGCCAAGGGCCAGATGGGTAGGAGGACACCACCTCACCTGTCATCTCTAAGTCCAGCTGGCCACATGCGCCTGCTCTGTCTGCCCAGGTTCTCTCCTGTGGCCACAGACAGGTCAGCACTCCTCCCGGGCTGACTCTTGGTTACAAAGCCTCAAAAGACTGGAACTCAGGCTTACAATAGTCCAGTCCTACCTGCTAATTTTTTCCTTTCATTTTGCATTCTAAAAGCAGTTTGTTATACTATTCATAACATTGTATAGCTTAATTTCATGTCATTTTGGATCATATATAAATATGAGTTGGAATTTTAAAAGAATGACTCCATTTAGGCGGCCACTGTTGATGTTACTATACAGTGAGTTTGATGTGTGCTCTAGAAGTAAAGCCATTGACTGGTGCAGCCCACAGCTCTTCACCTTGTTCTTTCCAGAGGGAATGATGGGAGGGCAGAGGCTGAGAGTTACACAGACCAAAGTGGCAGGTTGGGGCTAGACTTGAATCCTGAGCTTTGGGGCTTCTGGCTGTGTGACCTTGGACTGGTCACTTAACTTCTCTGGGACACAGTTGCCTCATCTGTCAAAAACAAAAAACCAGATTGGGAGGCTGACTTGCCTCGATGTTGTGAGAATTACATGGAGTCATTGTTGAGACTCTTGGAGGTGAAGCTATGGACAAGCTGACAGCTACCGCCCCACCTGACTTGAAGGTTTAGCCATCGCCCTTGAGGAGGGAGCTAGACCAGAGACCAGCAGCTCATGAAAGGCCAGAAAATGTGCTCAGGTGCTCCCTGAGCAATGGTGGACCCAACCAGCCCACTAGCCACTCCTACCATTTGGTCTGCCCTACAGCGGCCCATTGGTAGGCCAAGCACAGTGCCTTTACCTCCTCAGTCCTTGCACACATTCCTCCTGTACTCCATTGTTGCCTACAGCAGTCTGTGCTTTCCATCTCTCAAAGGCCAGAGTGGGCATGGAGAGAGGGAGAAATAGCCCTTAACCTGGCATCTGACAGCCAACGTAAGAGAAGAAAATTCAAAGGATGTGAAGCTATCCATACTACAAGTGTTCCTAAGACCCAGACTCCATGCTTCTCCCATCCCCCATATGACCCTGAGAAGCCAGGAGGTTCCTTCCTACAGGCTTCTGCCAGTCAGCAGCTAACAGCAAGGGGCCTTTGTGTCTCTGCCAGGTTCAAGGCCCAGCTTATTTTCTACTGTGGCCTGAATAAAGCTTCTTGGTGGGCAGGATAGACCTGAAGATTCCTTTGTCCAGACCATTTGGAGGTCCAGGGATTGTTTAAGCCACACAGTGGTAAGTGGCCTGGAGTTCCACCTGCACACAGGTGGAAGACAGGCAGTGTGGCCAGGACATCTCTGACACCCAGTCTGGCCAGGGGACCAAGGCAACAAAATGCTCTCCTTGTCCCCAGCTGGTGTTCAACTCCTGGACAGATCCAAACTACTGTTGTCCGCCTTCCCATGCAGGCAGAGTTGTAGGTCCTTATAGGGTCTGCTCTCCCTCCAGAGTAGACCGCCAGCCCATCCTGGGCTACTCACCTGTGGTAGTCCACCCAGGGCCTCCCAGCCAGACTGATGGTGATGTCTGCATCCCATCCTCAAGCAAGCCGTTTGTTCCTGAGAGGTCACACCTCCAGGAAGAGCCCAATCTCCAGAGGTTTCAGGAGTATCTTGTAAGCAGTCTGGTGGGGAGGCACCCCACCCCACCCTGGCTCTGCATTCCTGTTTCCTCCATGATCATAACTGAAGAATGTGAGATGAGCGAGTTTAAAGGCTTTCGTGAATCACTAAGTAGAGTAGGGACAGAGGGAGAAGGCCCAACTAGTGCAGTACCTGCTGCTCACGCATGAGGATTTGAGCATGGATACCCAACACCTACCTGGTTGTAACCTTAGGTTGGGAACATAGGTGGAGGAATGACAGGACATACGGACATTCCTGGAGCTCCTACCGGTCCATGTAGCCATTTGGTTACAGTGAGAGACCCTGCCTCAAAAAATGAGGTGGGGAGTGATTGAAGACACTGATGTTGACCTCTAGTCTCCACATGCGAACACACACAGAGTAAAAATGGCCACTGACATCTGGGACTGTAATTTTCACCACACCCCATCTCAACTTGAGCCTTATTTCTGAGCCTGCCCTGCTGCCAGCCCCAGACCCTGAGCTATGACGCATGTTCCCCATGTTGCTCTGTAATAAACACTACTGTTACTTTATAGTAGGAATTTCATTCACTCCACATTTGCTTGCATTGGTTCTAGAGGCCCCAGATCCCATTCCTGAACCTCATAATGGGGGGAGGGGGGTAAAAGGAACTGGCAACTAAGCCTACTGGCCAGAGATTAAGTCTCCTGAAACAACCAAGGCCCCTGTGCCTGTGGTCTTTGTGAAGAATGGGTGAAGGGAGCATGTGAGGCTTTTTTGAGATTGGGTAAGAAGGGGTAGGGAAAGCATTTTTGTTGAAGGATGGCTTTGAACAGAGTTGGGAGACAAAATCCTAAGGGTAGGACAGAGCAGCAAGAGAGTATGGCGGGGTCTGTGGTAAAGGTAGGGAACTGAATTGTGTTCAGGTCCAGAAGGCCTGGAAACGAGGTTATGCTGGCTGCATAATCCCCAGCTGCAGTGAAGATTTCTTGTGGGATCTGTTTATAGAGAACCATGAACCCCTGATGGTACACAGGTAGTCAAGGCCTTGAGGTAGTGGCCATCACTCTGTCTATTTCCCAAGATAGCCTCAAAGTCCAGGCTGTTTGTTAGCCTCAGCCTCCAGGTTACCTGGGACCATATGTGTACGCCACCAATCTTGGCTTCTTCGTTTTCTAATGGGACATCCCTTTTAAGCCCTGGTCCTTGGTCCCCAGTCCCAGGAAGACCTGCTTTCTTCCCCTCTCTTCACTCGTTCCTCAGAGCAGGGAAGAAGTGGAATGCAATGGTCACAACCCCACTGCCTTCAGTCCCAGCTTTGCTAGTCGCTGGCTATGCAGTCTTGGACCCATCACAGCTTCCTCAAGCCCATTTATTTAGATTCATGTGATGAGTGTTTGGCCTGCGTGCATGCGTGTGCACCACCTGTGTGCCTGGTGCCCCTGGAGGTCAGAAGAGGGGGTTCTATCCCCAGGAATTAGAGCTATGACTTTGAACCTCCATGTGGGTGCTGAGAACTGAACCTGGGTTCTCTACAACAGCAGCCAGCAGGCAACCTCTGAGCCATCTCTTCAGCCCCAAGCACATTTACTTAACCAGCTATAAAATGGATTGAAAACAATTTACCTCGTGGGGCCTATGAAGCACTTAAAAACTTAATAAAAGCTGTCTACTCGATTGTTTTTTATTATGCTTTCTACTCTCTTTATTCTTAGGTACAGTTTCTATTGTATTTATAAAGTTGGTATTAAATGTACAGCCAGTGGACAAGAACCTTAATTACTGCTGTGGGTTGGCCCTTGTGGCATCTTGGACTAGAGGAATGTGGTTTGGGGTTTAAGGTGACTTGGCCTGCCTACCTGTTTTTCTCACTGAACTCAAAACACTAATAAAGCAGGAGTGGATGCTTGTCTGTGTCAGCTGAGCTTTCACTAGAACACTGGCCGAAGCAAAGGCCTCAAAGCTGGGCCACATTATGTGGTGAACTTTCTTAGTCATACTGGGTCAAGGAAGCGGGCCCAGAAAAAAAATTAAATAAATAAAAACCCTAGTCACTCAGTTCCTTCCTGCACCATCAGCATGCTCACCAGCGTTCCTGTGACCATTCTCACCCAAGGCAGGACTTGAGCATCCCTGCTGGGAACCTCGGGCAGGTCCATTTCTTTTCTGTCATTTGGAAGGAACACTTAGAGCTCTGACACCCTAGGGGCTCTGCCATTGGTTTCCCAAAGCTGTCCACTGGATTTGCATGAAGGAGGTAAATCTCCCCAGGTTCCTGCCCTGTTGTCAGCAGAGCACCAAGTACTAGATAGTAATGTCTTCTGACCTGCGAGGCCATTTTCCTCTCAATTCCTTCCTCCTAAGACATCAGCCTTGTGTGCAGTGGATTCGGGAAGGGCAGGGGTGAATGATGAGTTCCTAACCCCTATGGATGCCGGCTTTGCTGAGGATAAGATGAGAACAAGGGGTCTATACTTGGAAGAGAATAGCATGTGGACATGTGACCTTGCACAATTTCAGGTTTGGGGGTAGCTGAGGTTCAGGGAAACTCCAGGAACAGAAGTCCTATACTGAGTTCTTGAGCTTAGTAGTTATTTGTCTCAACTGGGACCTCTCCCTATAGTCTGGCCTCTCTCTAGCAAGGTGAGGCAAGGAAGGGCCAGAAACTATGTACAGACAGATACCAGATGCCCTAACATAGCACCAGGCTGAGGCCCTCTTCACTGGGGGTCCCCTGCACCTAGACCATCATGTCTACTACCACAGGAGGGGCTCAGGACTAGAGTGTATGCTGAGGGGCAGATGAGGGTCAGTCCCACTGCTCAAGAGTAGAGAAAATGGCCTTCTATTTAGGCGATAAATTTCTTCGTAGTGCTTTGAAGAGCCCAGAATGTTCTCACACACCTCATCCAGGTTTATATTTGAAACCTGCTGCTAGATAGAGAATAGACAGCACTAGCCTAACCTGCTCACTTCCTTTCAGGGAAGCTCTTGGTAACAGGAAACCCCAAAGCACACCAGCATGGTAAGGATTCCAGAGAGGTGTCACAGAGCCCCCTCCAGGCCCCTCCTTTCAGTGCTCACACTCAGGTGGGGGTAGCAAGTAAGGGACAGGAGCAGAAGGGAAACGCAGATCCAGCCTGGCCTTGTGCCTCAGCCCCAGCTTAGGCCCCGATATTCCACCCAGGGCCACAAACACCCTTCACCAGCTCCCACACACCCAGGCAAAGAGCAGACAAGGGGAATACACTACCAATTGTGTTCCTAACCCTTCCCCAGCTGCCCCCCACAGACATACACACACACATACGTAGGCAGACACACCCACACACACGTAGGCACACACACCCACACACAGACAGACCCGCCCCGCCCCCCACATAGACACACACACACAGACACACAGACAGACATACCCGCCCCGCCCCCTCCCCCGCCACACACACACACACACACACACACACACACACACACACACTCAGGCCTAGCCTCTCTCCAAAGAAGCATTAGGTTTATTTCTTGAACTGAACTCCTGGGAAGATGGGTTGCCACCATATGCCCTCTGTCCTGCTAGGGGTCCTGAGGTGGGACAGTCCAGCCATAGAGGGATCAGCCTTTTCACCCCCACAGATTAATGCCAGGGAGTCAGATAGTTGATGCGGCTGTAGAGAAAAAGAGGAGTGAGATGGAGTTTTTCTTCCCTAGCCCCACCCCACCCCAAAGCTCACCTCCCTACCCTCAGGGATCCAAAAGCAATTTCCATCCAGGCTATGTGCCCAAGAGCCTTCAATGGCTCCCTATTTCCTTTGATATATTTTTGGCTATTTTCTTCATCTCTAATTTACCTCATACTATTTCCCAGTGACACCCCAATGCCATGGGTTTTCAGTCACGTAGAATCGACTCTAGCATCACACAGTAACAAAACCCAAAGTTTTCCTGTGTGGGGGCTGGGGAAGGCAACTTTCAGGAATAGGAAAGGGCAACACTCTGGATACTACAAAGTACAACAGGTGAAGCGGAGTGTTTGCTGTAGGGAGAGACCGAGTGTATGGTGTGTGTGTGTGTGTGTGTGTGTGTGTGTGTGTGTGTGTGTGCGTGTGTGTGTGTGTGCGTTTGTTGCACCACGGAGTCGGCTGCACAGGGAGGGCGTGGCTGAAAAGATGCCCCATAGTTTCTCAGCATTTTCTCCTTGGGTCTGAGCCTTTAACCAAGGGTGACCCTGCTGGGGACGCTACGATGCAGCGGGAAGCAAATGGCAGTTCCTTCCTTCTCCATCCTACCAGGTCCCCTCCTTCCGGCCTCCTGTGGGCCAGTCCTGGTGAGAAATGCACCCCTAGCCCCGGCCCACGAAGGTGCAGGTTGATCGCCTGGCGGAGCAGACCTAAGTCCCCTTCCCAGGGGGCGTGGCCGGCGGCGGCCGAGGCGGGGCCATTCCCTACCTGTAGTGGGAGCCAAAGCGCCGGAACGCGTTCCTGCGAAAAGAACCAAGAAGAACCCCGCTGAACTCGGCTCCCAAAGCTTGGAGGTGCCGGGCGCCCGCTGATAGGCGTCAGTTCGGTAGGAATTCAGTGTCTGTTCTCAGCTACGATCCCCCCTTTCCTGCTCGGGGATCAGGGTCCCGAAGGGGTCCCGCGTGGTGTCACTTACAGCGTGTCAAAAGGCAGGGGCTTCTGTCCGTAGCGGTCCAGGCTGGGGTTCTGGTTGATGCAGTACTGGGGCGAGCCACAGGGATGGGGACCCGTAAGCCCGCGGGGCGTGGACCCCAGCAGCTGCTTCCTCCCTACCACCCGGGCCCGGTCTGCGTGCACCTTTCCCTACCCGCCAGTTCTGGGTCACGTCAGGCTTCAAGTACCGCACGGCGTAGCCACTGAAACGCTCCACTGCGGAGAGAACCCACCTTGGGGACCTAGAGCCCCAGAAACCTGGGCCGTCCTCATCCAAGCCCCGCCCCACCCCGAGCCCAGCTCGTCTCTCGGGCTCAGGCCCAGCCCCAGCGGCTTCCCTGACCTCCAGTCGCCTCAGCGGCTCCTCTCCACGCCCCACCCCACCCGCAACCTGGTGCCTGTTTCTGCGTCGCTGGCCCTTGGGCCCACGGCCCTCATTCCTCGCTTTAGATGCGCCACCGAACTGCGGGAGATCTCCCCCTCTCGAGAGCACCCTTTGTGATTGGTAGACTGACCCCTCTGGTTGGCGCAAGGCAGTTTGAACTCCCCGGACCTGGACACGAATTTGGACCAGTCTTCGATGGCATGCGTGTAGCAGGGCCAGTCGACCCGGTTGATGCCAGGAGCGATGGGCACCATCTTTCCTTCCCGGTACTTGTAGCAGAGCTTCTGGCCGGTCGCTGTCAAGTCCTAGGGAATGGTGGGTCATAAAGGCAGATACAAGATCCTGGGGGACTTCCTAGGCCTGAGTGGACATTAGACCCACTGGACTGAGGGGGTGCAGGCAACCAAGGCCTGGACCGCTTGGGGGTATCTATCTGGACATAAGCTCAGGCAGTAGTGCCTTGGACCAGAGGTACCTGGGGGCATCCAGGGCCGAGGACAAGGGACACTCACCAGGCATTGCAGGGGTTTGTTGGGGACTCCCAGGAGTGTGAAGTGGGCGTTGTTAAAGTCATCTGTTGAAAGATGAGAAAGAAGTCCCTTTCAGGAGCCCTTTACAGGCCCAAACTAGAGGCTCGGTTTACATTATGTACCTTAAGAGAACAAAAAAATGTTTTTCCAGGTATGGCAGGTAGGAATTTAATCCCAGCTGTCAGGAGGCAAAGACAGACAGATCTCTGTGAGTTCAAGGCCAGCCTGATCTATGTATCAAGTTCCAGCCAACCAGGGCTACACAGTGAGATTCTGTCTCAAAGAAAAAAAAAGTTAGTTTTTAATTATTTAAGATAAAACACTATCGATATCTTTTACAATAAAAATCAATAGAGATCGATATGAAAACTTAGAAATACTAGAAGAAAATGTGGACAAATTCCTCTATAATCCTGGGACAGGAGGACTTAATTTCCTTGAAAAGCCAAAAATTGAGAGAAAAGACCAGTAACTTTGACCACACAAAAATAAACACCAACCTAGCATGAAGGGTCAGTGGTAAAAGGCACTTTTATGCTGGCCCCAGGACACACACGAGGGAGGGAGAGATCTGACTCCTAAGAGTTGTTCTCTGACCTCCAAGACTGAACTGTGGCCTGTCAGCATGTTCATACATGCACATGTGTTTATAAATCAGATAAAAAACACAAAAGGAATCAAAGACAAAGGGAAAATATTTATACTGATTTTAGAGAAGAGACAATGCACTTAATGTTGGAGGGGTTCTTAGAAATCAAGACAAAACAAAAGCCAGGAAGGAAACATGGACAAATGACATGTTTAAGTAGTTCATGTTAGTGTTCTGGCATCTGTACTGACCTGTCCTTGGGGTTCTCACAGGATACGCCCTCAGCTGCAGCCACTAAGAGCACCGCCTGTGCATGTTCACTGTGTTCCCTTTTAGAAGGGCCCTGCCCACCTCCCATCCCTCTCTTTCTTTTCTTTCCCTCTGTCTGTCCTGACCCCCCTCTCTTTTCTCTCTCCCGCTGCTCCTGTCCCCAGAGACTAGTTTCTCCCCATCCTTTGCCCCCCTTTTCATGATCCTTTTCCCTTAATAAATAACCCCCCCGCTTGAACTCTGTGTCATGGTGTCTTTCTCTCTCGAGCCGCTTTTTAAAAATTACAATAGTTCATCCATAACTACTAGAAATACCTTCGGCTTCATGGCCACTAAACATGTAAAAAGACATCATTTCCTTCACAAAGTGAATGCACATTTAAGCTCTATAAAGATATCAGTGTCCTCCACTTATTAGGGCAGGCTGGGAACAATGCAAAACTTAGTACAGCTTTAAGAAATAGGTCCTTCACCATTCATCACCAGAGGCTGTGTAATTTGACTGGAGCCTACAGAAAGCAGTCCAGTAAGCTTACTTAGAATTATGAATATATACATGTCCGCTGGTCCCACCGTCTAGCAATGCACAAATGACGTCAGAGGAAGGTGACCCATTTTCATGTTTGTAACAGCAAAAGGATGCAAGTGTCGGTCATCAAACCAAAGAAACCCAGCCAGGCCTGCACTAGGTTGGGTTGGAGGTCAGGCTGGTCTGCAGAGTGAGTTCCAGGACAGCCAGGCCCACACAGAGAAACCCTGACTTGAAAAACAAAACGATAACAAAAAGGTTGAAAGTTAATAGTACACCCTTCTCCAGGGCCTGGTTGGGGAGACAGGTGCAACTAGAAAAGATCATGTTGAGTGAGGTAACCAAGACCCAGAGAGATAAACGTCACACTTGGTCTCATCTGAGGTTTCCTGCTTGAAGTCTTTGGGTGTGAGTACACAGCCTGGAGTAACTGCAGGAGTTGGGACGATGAAAAGATGCCGCAGGTGGGAGGCAACTGAGGAGGAGATGGCAGAGCACATGTGACATGGGAAAAGTAGAGGGATGTTGACTGGGGGAGGAAGGAAGACACATGCTGAAAGAGGCGGGAAGGAGTAAAATAGCCAGGACATCATACTACTATTTAACTACATAAAATACCTATAGTGCATGTAAGTCTTGGTATAAATACACATATGTAGCTTAAATGAAAATTTCCATCTGGGTTGACAATGCCCCTCCCCCTAACCCCAAGTGCCATAGACCATCTTAAGAAGGAAAACAAACAACAAAAACCAACAACAGGCATGAGAAGCCCTCTTCTGAATTCTTGGTCAAGGTTGTCTAAGAGATTCCCAAAACATAGGCTACTGGTGTTACCCTTGGTTGCCTCCCAGACATGGACATGGCTAAAGACACTGTGTACTTTGACACAGGACCCAGAGGACTGGAGCTGGATCTGCCCTGAAAGCTTCCTCCCTGAGGACTAGCTTTCATGGTCCCTTCTGGTAAAGCTTCCCACCGAGGAAAACAGCCAACAGTCCTTCCCAGCTATGACGCCTATGAGCCACAACAATGACCAGCGCAACATGAAGGGCCTAAGGGCACAGTAGTAGCATGCACGCCTTGGCAGTAGCCAGCAGCTCTCTAGTTGGGCTTACAACCTACTCCACAAGAGGGAAGTATTACCTGGTTGGAAACCTAACCAACTACTTGGGGTTAGTGAAGTCATCGATCTTGGAGCACCCGCAACTGCCACGTTACGAAACCAACAGCATCCCTTATCAGGGAAACTTCTCTTTGTAGTAGACGGAGACCATTACAGAAAGCCATAATTGATCCAAATGGGAAGTTGTGGTCTTAGGTCCCCAACTGATGCATCTATAACACAGCTCTTGCGCCCAAGGCTCAGGGATCATTGTGGAAGAGGGAGCAGAAAGAGCCAGAGGCACAGGGAGTTTGCTGCAAGATCGTGTCTCCTAGCAATGCCAGTGGAACTGCACCTGTGACATCTCACCAGCATGGCTGCCTACACGTGACCTGCGCGAGGATGGAACTAGCAGACATCTAACATGGAAGCAGGGAAGGTCACAAGGCCTCAACCACAGACAAAGAAGCATGGGCAACCAAGGAATTCGGAGAGTGGGAGCAGTTTTCCCCAGAAAAGAGCATACCAACTGGTTCTCCAATACCAAGGCCTGAAAACATCCACATAAGCAACATTATACAGACTGTATTTAGGAATATGTATGTACGTACATATGTATGTATGTAACAACAATTAAAGAAAAAGAGGCCATGATTTTGAGGGAGAGCCAGGGGGAGTACAAGAGAGAGTTTGAAGGGAGGAAAGTGAAGGGGGAAAATGATGTCATCTTAATCTTAAACAAATTACAGAAAATTATAATAAAAAAGAAGAAATGGAAATGATGGAAAATCATTTTAGTCTAAGGCTCAAGACTTAACTGATGGGTAATCCTCTATTCAATCCTATTTCCATTTTAAGCTATAAAATACATACTTGGAGACTCAGGGGGTGGATTTTAAGATTTGCTGGTTAAGAGATATTGTGGAGTTATTGTCAACTTCCCTAGATATGGTAATGGTATCTTGTCATGAAGGAGGCTGTTCTTGTCATTGGGAACTACCTGGCAAAGTTTTACATGCTCGTGTGTGTGTGTGTGTGTGTGTGTGTGTGTGTGTGTGTGTATGTCAGAGAGAGAGAGAGAGAGAGAGAGAGAGAGAGAGAGAGAGAGAGAGGGAGAGAGAGAGAGGAGAGGGGAAAGGGGAGAGAGCAGGGAGAGAGAGATGGAGAGAGGGAAGAAAGCAAGAGAGGTGGCGTGAATACAAACATGCTGAACAGACCTTGGGACGGGCAGAGGGAAAAGATGCTCACAACGCTACCCTTTCAACTTCTTTTCTATTTGAAAATCTTAAAATGTCAAGGAGCAAAAGATTGTGTTTTCTGTACTGAGTGTGGTAGTGTGGTCCACCAATCCCTGCTGATCCGGAGGTAGAACAGGGAGGATCTCTTGAACCAGGAGTTCAAGGTCAGCCAGGGCAACTTAACAAGACACCGTCTCAAAGAAATGATGGAGCAGGGGAGATGGCTCAGTTAGTAAGGCGCTTGCTATACACACATGAGGACCCAAGGTCCCAGCACTCACATAAAATGCTGAGCGTAGTGGCGCACACTTGTCATCCTAGTGTGAGGATTCTGGTGTTTTCTGACCAGCCAGCCTAGCCTAGCTGATGAACTCCAGGTCAGTAAGACACCCTGTCTTAAGAACCATGGTGAACAGTAACTGAAGAATAATGCCTGAGGTTATTCTCTGAACTTTATGTGCATGCATGCATACAAACACACATGCATACACATCACTGAGCCCTCCTCTACCACATGACAGGCCAGTAAGAAGATCAGGCGTGGGGCTATGTATCTGGAACGGGAGAATCAGAGTTTAAGGCCAACCTGGGCTTCATGTTGCGATGCAGTGGGGGTGGGCACCTCCAGAATTGCAAGCCAAATAAACCTTATTTTGTTAAGACCTAAAGGAAATAAAAGAACACTGCCACCCACAACAGCAGCAGCAGGGTCACCTACTGATCAGTCATGCAGTACCAGGCAGCCTGCTCTTCACCCTTAGTTCATATTGCCTCACATAGCCCTGGGAGGCAGGCTCTGAACCGGCCCCCATTTTCTATTCAGGATGTAGAGGCCAGGCCTTGGAGGAACTTTCTGGAAGGGCGTAGAGAGCTGGACTGGCCTTCATCATTCTTTCGTCTGCCACTTGCCCCAAGCTTTTCCCTCCAAGATCTCCATCTTGGGAGCCATCCTTGCTCCAAAGGCAAGCAGGAGACCCCGAGATGCTGGTGGGGACATGGCCTGACCTTTGGAGCAGTAGGTGGAAGATTGGGAGTGCTCATCCGAGAGGCAGCCCTTGACGCTGTCCATATCCATGCGCCGCAGGGTGGGCAGGAGTGGGTGGTAGAGCTGCTGCTTCACACCAGCCAGTGGGTTGCGCACACGCTCCAGGGGGAGTAGGATGGCTGGGGAAGCGTACACGTGGGCGGAGCCATCGTCCCAGGGTACCACGTCGATGATGCGGGCCATCACTGGGGAGCAGAGGGGTTGAGTTAGATGTCCTTCCGCACAGGCACACGTGCTTGGCCTGTGCTCATGTAGCCTGTGCTCATGTAGCCTGTGCTCATGTAGCATTTCTTATCTTCTGTGTGCCCGGTGAGTTTTCAGGAACCCCACTTGGGTGGTGGGGACATCCAAACAACAGATACATGTGTGCATGGTGTATGTACACACACACACACACACACACACACACACACACACACACACACACACACACACACAGCACCCAGGGCTATGAGGGAAGTCAACACAGAGTGTGTATAGGTTTGAGAGGCTTGAAGTTGGGGCACTCCAAGGCTGTCTAAGTGAGGCGAAACCTAAGTATTGAACAGGAAAAGGTCACAGTAAAGCCATTCAGAATGTAGCTTAGAATGCTGTGTGGCTTGCAACAGTAGGTAGCCAACTCTGGATTTGGCTATATCTGTCATTTACCCCAAATGCTACAGACAGATAAGACTGTTTTAGAGGGGAGAAACATGGCAGATCTGAGTTAGAAAACCATGGATGGTTACCTAGCGCCTCTCTTTTAAGAAGCAGATATACCCTGGAGCCCCCTTTTAGTCATTTACACCTTTGTAAGGATTTGTTGACTCTACTTACTGACCCCCAAGTTCGAGAAGAAAAGTAGAGATGGGTGCTAGGTAGGCAGGAGGACAGAGGAACTTGACCATGGAGGACCGGGAAGGGGCATGGAGATAAGGTATGGGATGCTGTCTTAGAGATGACTGGAGGAAGGACAGGACAGTAGAACAGAGAGAAAGGAAGAGAGCTCGCATGCTGCCATCGACCCACCGCTAGTACCTCGTCTGCAGGGCACAGACCCAGGCACACAGGCTGGGAAGGTGCTTTATCTGCTGCTCAGTGGGCAGAGGAAGGGAGGCAGGCGGGCCTTGTGGGCAGCTGCAGGATAGGAGCACCACAGAGACAATGCCCACTGCAGCCTGATTGTGAGGACGCAGCTCCCGGGTAACCCTAGCAACACAGGCTGCAGAGACCCCTAGGCACTTGATACCCATTCCCTGAAGCTTGGAGTCTCCATGACTGCTACACAAGCCAAGCATCTTGGGAAATGTCAAATCTGGGGCTCTATGGAGGTGACCTGGCCATACTCAGGCAGGGATAGCTGCTGGGCTCACTCAAGGCTGTGTCACTGTGCTTGCTAGTTCAACTTGACACACTAGAGTCATCTGAGATGAGGGAACCCCAGTTGAGAAAATGCCTCCATAAGATTAGGCTGTAGGCAAGCTTGTAGGGCATTTTCTTATTTAGTGATTGATGAGGGAAGGCCCAGCTCATGGTGGGTGATGCCATCTCTGGGCTGGTGGTCCTGGGTTCTATAAGGAAGCAGTTGAGCAAGCCAGTAAGCAGCACCCCTCTGTGGTCTCTTGCCTCCAGGTTCCTGCCCTGTTTGAGTTCCTGCCCTGACTTCATTTGGTGATGAACAGTGATTTGGAAGCATAAGCCAAATAAACCCTTTCCAACACCTTTTGGTCTTGGCGTTTCATCATAGCAAAAGTAGCCCTAACTAGGACAGTGACACTAGTCTAGTTATTACTGCCCCTCTCTGGCACCCAAGAGCACTGTTTGCGTTAGTCAAGGACCCTAGGCTCTGCAACAGGCCTGCTTGGGAGCCCAGAGGGCCCCCCTACCCCCATGAATCTTAGGGAAGAGGATGCCAAGCTGTCTTTGGTCTCTGGGGGGCGGAGATTAGCCAGGCTCCCGGGTCAGGGCAGGGATCTGGCAGAGTGGTGGCCTCAGCAGGCCAGGGATTAGCAGGTGATACTCCACCCCACCCCCACCCCACCTCACCTCACTACTTGGGGAAACTGCAGCCTCTCTCCTTCCCAGGAAAGCCAGGCTGTGAGTATCCTAGCTCAGAAACTGAAACCCTGGGTTTAGAGCCAGACATCCTAAGGTTAGGAATCCTGGGGCTGCCTCTTTTGCATATATTGGCATATAATTTGCATGTACTTGCATGAGTGCTAAACCTGCCATTCAGAATTCCCTGCTGTTAGAATCCTGTAAGATTTGGTGCTGCTCCTCTATAGGGACCCAGGAACCTAAGGAAGGCTTCCTCATACAGAAACTTGCACAGCACTGACCCCGATTAGCACCCCAACCTAAAGTCAGACGCTGTTTGTTTGTTTTGTTTTTGTTTTTCAAGATGGGATTTCTTTGTGTTGTCCTGGCTGTCCTGGAACTCACTCTGTAGGCCAGGCTAGTTTCAAATTCAGAGATTCCCCTGCCTCTGCCTCCCAAGCATTGGGATTAAAGGCGTGAGCCACCACTGCTGCTCAAGGTCCTACTCTTTTAATGTTAGAAAAGAGCTGGCTGTAGTGGCCCACACCTTTAATCTCATTACTCAGGAGGCAGAGGCAAGCCTGTCTCTGTGAGTTCAGGGACAGCATGGTCTACATAGTGAGTTCTAGGCCAACCAGGGCTATGTAGAGTTGTCCTGTAGTCAAAAACCAAATTAAAAAAAATACGGAAACTATATAAACACCTAATTTAGTAATTTATAAATTGAGACATAGCCTCCACCCCCCCCCCCACCCCTCCCAACAGGCAACTGCTACTCAGGTCCAGACACAGGGTACTAACTTTTCAAAAGAGTTTAAAAAGTGGAATATGAGCTAAGCATGCTGGCATACAGCTATAACCTCAGCACTCCAGAGGCTGAGTTCAAATCCAACCATGGCTATGTGGTGTGTGACCCTGTGTTGTACAGGACTATCCTCCCAGCCAAACAGCTACCCATTTTGGGGAGTTCTGCTGTGCCAATTTACAAAAGATCATCTCCCCTGGGTTCGCTAGGGGGTGGGTGCCACAAGATTCTCACCTGTGTGTATCTAGCTGCCCTCTCTATCACCTGTTATATGCAACTCTGGTCTAACTGCACGTGGCCTCAGAGGGACTAGAGTACACAGGTGAGGGAAGACCCTCCTAGGACAGCTCAGCAAAGCCGCTCCATCTATGCAGCTATAAGAAAGTCTTCATCCCTGCTGGGTAAAGACTTTCTGGTGTAGACTCTTGTGGGAGGAGCACCCACACTCCAGAAATAACCCCTCGCCCATGCTCCGTAAGTAACCCTGATAAATGCATTGGCTCCCCAGAGTGAACTCTGCTGGCGTTGTGCTGGGTTTGTCATTGGGAACTTGGGAGAGGAGGAGTAGAAATTGCTTATGTTTCCTCCAGGGAACTGTAGTAACCTGTCTCTGAAAAACCCAAACAAGAAAGGGAAGTTTACAATAGCATTGCTTCATATGGGAGAGCCCACCCTAGAGACTGTCTGAGAGAAGTGAACATGTGCCATGATACTCAGAGCAATGTGGTTTATGGTCGAAAGGTGGAAACAAGCTTGGTGACCACAGCCAGGAGTCAGAAACAAACAAACAAAACATAGACATCACCACCTACGAAGAATGGATACTTCCCAGATACCACCTCCTCAATTGCTTTGATCTTCTATTGCAACAGTGGACAGTACGTTTCTGTTCCTTGTAAATGACTTGGTTTAAGGTGTTTCGTTACAGTTACCCAGATGCAATAGGACAATTAATTGTCTTTGGAGGAAGCCCTAAACCAGTGTCATTCAACACACTAAGGGCTGGCTCACAGCCAGGCGCATGGTAAAAACTCCAAAAATTTGTCCCAGATGGTCAGGGTAAGTGTCTGCCCCTTACTGAAATCTTGTGACCCTAGAACCAACCCAAGTGCTACCATCTCATAGAACTTCTCTCCCCTGGTCACTGCCCCCTCCTCCTGGATTTGTATTTCTCCTGAGAGTTCAGCCTCAGTTTACCAATTTTGTCAGTTATTAGTCAGGCTTTGGAACCTATAGTGGTCAAGACTGTTAATTTTGGGTTTGAACACTTGGCTGGTCAGGAATGCCTAGAGAATTGGTAAAGCATCGCATTTGGGTATGTCTGGGAGGGTGGTCCCAGGCATGATTGGCATGTAGGTCAGCAAACTGAAGACTCATCCTTCTAGGTGGGTTGGAACTATGTGCTTGGTTAGTGGAAAGAGGAGAACTGTCTCCGATCCTTCTTTAGTTGGGTGTGGTTCTTCCTGCTGCTGCTGGCCTTGGACCACAGACTCTGGGTCCTTTGGACACCTTGGAAGCTGAGTCTTACACCAACAACACTTCAGGGACTCTGAGGTCTGAGACATCTAACTGGGACTATATCCTAGGCCTTCTGGTCCTGAGACGTCATACTCTCTTGGTTCTGTTTCTCTGGAAATGCTAATAAATACAGATTTTTGGCTAAAGGTCGTATCCTGGGCCATTGGTTCTTGTGGTAGAACTCAAGCTATTAAAGACTCTGCCACAGAGAGTCTGCTGAATTTCAGCATCAGTGCTGGAGACTAAGGACACACTCCTGTCCCCCTGACTGAGCTGATGAGTTCCTGTCACCTTGAGGAGTCTCTCGGAACCACACGGGCATGCAGGCTATTCCTAGTTCTGCTGCCACTCACTAGCTTTGTCAGTGTGTGGGAAGCCGGGCCCTGGCACTGGGACAGGTTCCCTAGAAATTTATAGGGTCCTAAACTTTCTATCTAGGACCCTGTTGGACATACTTGGGGGTTGCTTCTGGCTCCCCTGGGCACCAGTCTTCTTTCTACCCTGCCCCCCTTTTTGCAATGCTAATCCTTTGCACTCGGCCCATCTTCTGCCAATTAATCCTGGCTGTGTCTGAGGGGCCAGCTGCAGGGGCACTGAGAAGGCAATTCCTGCCAGCAGCTGACATCTATCTGAACAGGTAACTCAAAATGAAGCAGGGGCTCGGTAGGACTCCTGGGGGACCCCCACGCTCGCTCAGCTCCTAGCAGAGCATTTAGGGAATGAAGTACACCTGACAGGAGAGCTGTGGCGCTTCCTCCCGTGGTTTAGACTTTGGGAGCTTCAGGGCAGCCTGAGACTTGACACCCCCAGAGGGCTTGGGGGAACCTAGGGATCTGTATTTTCTCTAGCTCCCCAGAAGATTCTCCCTTTATAGGGAGTAGGGGAGGGCAAGATGGTCAGGAGAATGAGTGTTATCAGAGGGGTGTCAGGAGGAGGGCTTTCCTCGGGTCTGGTTCGGGGGGCTGCTGGTAGCTGGCTGGGGTCTGTGCATTCTGCCATGCCAAACATGTGACCTTGGGAGGAAGTCACTGTGTCCACATCCCCCAGCTGGAAGGGAACTAGAAGAACCCAATGGTTGTATCTGGCCCCCGGCACTTTTCTGTAGGCTGATCTGACTGCACAGCTTAAGCTCTGTCCCCACTGAGGCTGTCCTGGGGGAAGCTGAGCCAGAGCTGGGACAGAGGTCAAGGAGGCTGGCAGTGGACTCTGGAAAGCTGGTACTGGGGTAGGGGTCCCTGGCCACGGGGCTGCTTTTTTCAAGGGTCCTGGTAGAGACAGGAAGGAGATAAAATCTTGGGTAAGCCTGGTAGAGACAGGAGGGAGATAAAATCTTGGGTAGGCCTGTGTTCTGGGTGGCCTAGCACGGACCTGTCTACAGATCAGTCTGGATGGTGACACTGAGCCGTCCTGCTAGAATTCGGTGTCACAGAGCTTGGCTTAATATCAACAAGCTAGAAACTGGTCAAAATGTCATTATCAACTGTGACACAGGTCCAACTGGCCTTTTATCTTCAAAGTTAAACAAGTGATAAGTGTTGCTATTTGTTTATTTACTTCTATAGTTCATTTAGCCTTGTTTTCTGTGCATTGGTGTGCAGGTGTCAGATCCCCTGGAACTGGAGTTACAGACAGTTGTGAGCTGCCAATGTGGGTGCTGGGACTTGAACCGGGGTCCTCTGGAAGAACAGCCAGTGCTCTTAACTGCTGAGCCATCTCTCCAGCCTCTTGTTTATTTATTTTTGAGACAGGGTCTCACTGTGTAGCTCTGGTTGACTTTAAATTCACAGAAATTTGCCTGCCTCTGCCTCCTGAGTGCTGGGATTAAAGTATGTGACTAATGTTATCACAGACAATACAGACTTTCTGTTCATAAGTCCCCCGTATTTCTTTTCTGTCATGGGCTTCTGCAGTATATGACATTCCACAGTCTGTGTTTGCACTCAGCACCTGACCCTGTAGGCATGACCAGACTTTATGAAGTCCTTAGCGGGGGCCAGTCACTGGGTAGCAGCTGATAGCTGAACAGATAACTCAAAATTAAGTGGACTCAGTCACTGGTCTGAGAATGTTGCTTTTATCAATTTTTATTTTTTAGTTTTGGTTTTGTGAGATGGGTTCCTGGCTACCTGGAACTCACTGTGTAGACCAGGCTGGCCTCGAACTCACAGAGATCCGCTTGCCTCTGCCTCCCGAGTGCTGGGATTAAAGGTGTGCGCCACCATGCCTGGTTTCTTTTAATAGATTTTACCCTCATACTCTGCTCACAAGTTGGGAACTATCAATGGAGCTGGTTTTTTTGGTCAGGCTGACCTGGAACTACTGATTCTTCTGTCTCCACTGCGCAAGTGCTGGAGTCTAAGTGGGTACCGCGGGTACCGCCATGCCTGACTTCAGTGCCCTTACAGACAGGCAAGCAGGGCTGAAGGGAGTCAACTGATCTGCTCATGGCAACGCTGGAGCACGTGCACCTCCCATTCAAACGAATGTGCTCCTTCCTTTCCAGCCTTCCCACAGTCCCTCTTATCGGCTGCATTCCAATTTACTTAATGCAGACCTCACCCGTGTTGAGCGTTCAGTTTCTTTCTAATAGTCTCTGGTAACATTGTAGAGATACTTTTATTTATGTATGCTTTATTTGAAACTCCCCCAAAATTGTTCCTTCAGCTTGGAAATGGATAAGTGGTATGAAAAGTCCATACCAAAGAATGCTATTCCACAATACAGACAAATTAGAGACAGGAACACTTACACAAAAGAATCTTAGATGCACATGCTAGATGAAAGAAGTTATGCTCAAAGGCCACACATGACTTAGAAATTCTGGGATTTCTATATCTGGATTTCTACATTCTGGAATTCAGACTGCAGGGCCAGGAAGCAGATGTGCATTTCTGGGTCTGGTTGGGAAAGGTGCTGCTCATAACTGCAGAAACTCTTTTAAAGATTTAGATTTATTGTGTATGCTTGTATATTTCATGTATGTGTGTCTATTTCACATATGTGTGGGTGCTCACAGAGGTCAGAAGAAAGTATTGATCTTCTGTAACTGGGGTTACAGGTGTCTGTGAGCTGCTTGATCTGGGTGCTCTGGAAGAGCAGCAAGTGCTCTTAACCATGACGCCATCTTACCAGCCCTGCAGCAGAATGTATTTTTAAAGATGGAGGTGTGGTAAAGGGCATCTGCAACCCACAAAGTGGGCATGAAAGAGGAGCGTGCCTGTGAGCCTGCTCATGCAGTTCAAGGCTGTCCATTACAGGCGTCAGGATGTTGGGCTGGGTCCAGAAGGTGCTGCCCCAGCCTCCAGGGACCCCTCAGAGGATGGAGGAGGAAGCAGAACCACAGCCAGAACCAGAGTTGGAGCCTGAGGCAAAACCAGAACCTGAGCCAGAGCCTCAGCTGGAGCCAGAACCTCAGCTGGAGCCAGAGCCAGAGCCAGAACCTGAAACAGTCCCTGAAGAGGATGTGCCGGAGGTCCAGACCCTGGTAAGGGGAGGGGCTGAGGAGGGCAGGCTGGTCTTGCTGCTCAGCGACTCTCAGCCTGGGCCATCTGATCCCTGTGGGCTTTCTCAAGAAAGGAAGTGGGAGAGAGCAGAAAATGTGGCTGCTGACTCGGTCCACATCTGCATGGGGGCCACTCACCCAGAGAGTGGGCAGGTTTGCTCAAGGCTGTTTCTGTGAAAGGTAAGATAGGCTTTGTGGGTTATGCCATCTCTCTTAGTTGCTCAGCCACAGCTGTGCAGAACACATAACAAAGGGACATGGCTGTGTGCTGACAAAATTTATTTATGGGACTGGAGAGATGGCTCAGAGGGCAGAAGCCTTTACCATGCCAGCATGAGGACCTGAGTTCAAATCCCCAGAACCTAGGTGAGATCCGGATGCAGTCGCATAAACAGCCATCATTCCAGCACTTCTCCAGAGAGCTGGGAGCAGAGAGGAGAATCTCTGGAAGCCCATGGGCTGCAAAGAGACCTTGTCTCAAAAGAGGTGGCAGGCAAGGACTGATACCCAAGGTAGTCCTCTAAACGTACACGGTACATATACTGTATACATATACACTCTTTATTTAGAAAAACAAGCAACAGACTATAAATCCCCTGTGGCCATACTTGTAAGCCTCTGTAGTCTACAACAGAGAGAGATATTCTAGACTCTAGTCCATGATCTGTTTATCACCAGACCATGAGGAGATTCGGAAATAGCTCCAAATAGAACCATATCACTTCCTTCAGTTGGTATTTATTTTTAGGAAGACTTTCTCAATTCAGGAAGTAGGAAATTAATATAGGATTTTAAAAACAGTAGTTTTTAAAGATTTATTCTAAATATTATGTATAATTGTGTGTGTGTGTGTGTGTGTGTGTGTGTGTGTGCACGTGTTTGTGTCTGCTCTCAGGCTGCAGTGACCACAGATGCCAGAAGAGGGCATCAGATCCCTTGAGAATAGTATTGAGCTGCCTTCTGGGTGTTCGGAGCATTAGTCCTCTGCAATAGCAAGTATTCTTAACCACTGAGCAATCTCTCTAGCCCCTTAAGCAGTACTTCATTTTCCAAGTGTCTTTGAACATTAATGTTCTGAGGAAAACGAACACAGACAGGGTGAGGGGTGAGGGGGGAGGGAGGCCCGTGGGAAGCCTAGGAGGTTTTAATCCTATAGGAGAATTACAGGCAACTAAGAAATTCTGAAAGTAGAAGTACTTTCCCCCAGGGAAGAGCATATCAATTGGTTCTCCAATACCAAATGGTCAGCCCTGAAAACATACAGACAAGTAACATTATACAGACTGAGCAGGTTGCATTTATGTATTTGGGAATATATACGTATATACATATATGTATATAGCAACAATTAATGATTAAAGAGGCCATGAATTTGAAAAGGGGCAAGGAGGAGTTTATGGAAGGGCTCAGAGGGAGGAAGGAGAAGGGAGAAATGATGTAATTATATTATTAAAAATAATTTAAAAATTAATAAGTCGAACTGTGGTGGTACATGCCATTAACACCAGCACTCGGGAGGCAGAGGCAGGCAGATCTCTGAACTGTAGGCCAGCCTGGTCTATAGAATGAGTTCCAGAATAGCCAGAGCAACACAGAGAAACTCTGTTTCAAAAAAACCAATATCTAACTAACCAATTAACTAACAAACAACTAATTTTAAACAAGATTAGTGTTCCACTGAGTACATACACTTTGGTACATGACAAATTTAAAAAAAATATTCCATTTATGTATTGTGTATGAATGTTCAGAGGTCAGAGGACAAATCTTGTGTGGGACATGTCCTCAGGGTGGACAGCAAACACCTTTACTCACAAAATCTCTTACCAACCCTTAATTTTTAATCCAAACTGTTCAATCACCATGGACCAGTTAGTAGTTTGCACTGGCACTGGTCCATGTACCACATATTAAGGAACATTTTTCTAGAAAGTTTCTTTAAACATACAGAAAACTTGCCAGTTTGACACCGCATCCCTTCAGGGGCCAGAAGACAACTAATTTATCAGCTTAATTAAACGGATTTCATTTAGCTTCTAATTGATGTTAGATCCTGTGCTTAGCGCAAAAGGCATAAAGAGGAATCAGTCAGGCGTCGTCCCTGGGAGGTCGGTAGACAAGTGCCCATCCGCTCCTTCTACCAGGAGATACGGCTGCTGAGGGACTGAGCTCCAGCACAGCTCTGAGAACTTACGGGGATTCACAAGCAAGGGTCATTTAATCTCCAAAGTTGGAGGCTGGTGGGGCATACTTACACGCAGGCTGGTGGGGGAATTTTTAAAAAAGATTTATTTATTTATTATGTATACAGTGTTCTGTCTGCATGCGTGTCTGCAGGCCAGACAAGGGCATCAGATATCATTATAGATGGTTGTGAGCCACCATATTGGTGCTGGGATTTGAACCTGGGTCCTCTGGAAGAGCAGGCCATCTCTCCAGCCCGTGGTGGGGGAATTTGAACTGGAGGGAATGCAGAGGCAAGGTGTTTCTGGAAGAAGAAGTGTTGTTCGTGGGCTAGTGCAGAGTGTGCTTAGGAACCTGCTATAGAGTGTGTATGTGTGTACATGTGTATGTGCATATGGTATATCTATGATGGTATACTGTGAGCATGCATGGGTATATCAGATTTGGATATGCATGCCTATGTGTGTATGTTTGTATGCATATGCATGCACGTATGTTTATTGTGTGCTGCACATGATTCCATGTGTATGTGCACATTTCTGAGTATGAGCTTATGTGTTTGCGTGTATACTTGTCTGTTACATTTGCACATCTCTGTGTACATACATATTTTATATGCCACATGCATACTTGTGTATATTTTAGATGTGTGTATATTTGTATATGTGTACGTGTATATGTACACATGCTTACATAATTGTGCAAACACCTGTTTATATGACATATGCAAATTTCTGTCTTTATACATATGCAAATGTATCCACATGCACACGTGTTCATGTGTATATACACAGACATGTCTATGTATATGTGTGTATGCATATAAGTATACGAACATAAGTGTATTGCTGACATGTGTACATGCAAGTAGATACAAGTGTATTTGTATGAAAGCACTTGTTTGTATGTGTGCATACATGTGTATCACTACTGTATGCATGGCAGTGTGATATGCATGATCATGTCTATGTGTACATCATCATAAATATGGCCTCAGGGAGACCAGATCTGAAGTATGGGACTCTTTTCCAGAGGCCCAGAAATATCTGCCCACTGTCCTCCAAGCCCAGGTACATGTATACACCTATGGATGTCTGCATGGATGCCCATGTGTGACTGTCTATATCTGCACACAGTGTTCAGGAGTAGAACAGGCTGCAGGAACAGGAGAGAGGCAAACAGCAGAGGCATGAAGGAAAGTTTGGGCACCAGGAGGAAGAGGCCTGATGCGGGGTGTGGGGGGGTACCTCTGGCCCCTGTTCTGCAAGTCTGTCCTATGGCTCCCCCTCTTCTCAGGCCACTGAGTGGAACAGCTCCTTGGGGGATAAGAGGCTGGGAGGTGAGGCCCCAGCCTGGGTGCAGGTCCCCTGTGGTGTGAGGAAGGGCCCAGGGTGGGGAGTGAGGCCAGTAGGACTTACAGAGATGATACTGAAATGCATCATTCGACTTTGGGGACCGCAGGTCCCTAGAGTGAACCGGAGGCTGTCCTTTCTGCACCAGGCAGCCTCATCAAGACTTACGGGTCCTGTTTGAACCCCACAGCCACCTGAGGAGCCAATGGAAGGGGAGGGCATAGCTGAGGCTAGTCCTAGCCTTCAAGGTGAGTGCTGGGACCCAGGCTGGCTGGGCAGGGGGCTGGGGTTTCCTCTCAGAGCCTAGAAGCAGCTCGGTTCACAGGTGAAGTCGAGGCTCAGGGAAGCTTGGAGTGGGCTCCTGGGAGCTTTTCTGCTGAGCAGAGTAGAAAATCTCACCTTCTAACCCCCAGTGTCCTCCTTCTGCCCTGCCTCTGACTTGATCTCTCTGGGGTCCACATTTGAAATACGGGACATTCTTTTTTTTGCCAGAGGCCCAAGAAACCGACCCTCCTCCGCTTACCTTCCAGGCCCAGGTTGCTGTTGCCAAGGTGAACAGGTACCATATCACCCTCTCCCCTCTCACTTCCCCTGCAGGGAGCTACTGCATGAAGGGGACAGCTATGAGTCAGATCTGTGGCCATTCAAGAGAGGCCCAGAGCATCGGTGAATGGTTGGGAGGGGGGCTAGCACAATTGGGATAATGGCCAAGAGAGGGCAGGCCACAGTAATATTGGGGAGTTAGAATGGTATCAGTGTTGGGGTGGCTTCAGACAACAGCTGGAGCTGCTGATTTTCCAGTGAAGCCAGTGCTCCTGACGCTTAGCCATTTTAGTCCATAGAGTTTTCCCAGCAAAGCACATCTTGGGCTGGGGCTAATGAAGACAGGGATTCAGGATGCTCCGCTCCCATGAACAGATCAGCCTCTGCCTCTGCCTCTGCCTCTGCCTCTGCCTCCGCCTCCAGAGGTACTCTAAGGGAATCCTTTGAGAGTACCAAACGTGAGAATGCTGGCACGTGAGAGAGGTTGGCTGTGCTGTACGGAGCAACTGGAGGGCAGGTTCCGAAGGTCTCCCTCACGTCCTTGGCTAGGGACTGCAGGGGACCCTGTGTTTTCCAGAGAGGAAGTGAGGCTTGCAAGATGCACCATGGGGAAAGAGTGACTTCATTCATGTCAAGTTCTTTGGGATATTATAGACTGCCACTCTGATGGGGTGGGGATTGATTAACTGGTGTCCCTATCTCTTGGCAGCCCCAGTGCCTGGGTGCTGACCTGGTTCTGGAAGGGCATGGAGAAGGTCGTGCCACAGCCTGTCTACAGCAGCAAGGGGAGCCAGAACCCGGCTGCCGGAGTGGGGGACACAGATCAGGTACAAGCACAGGGTGACCTGCTGGTGGAGGGAGGGTCAGCGGAGGGTTGTGGGGATGGGGAGGCTGCTCCTTGGACTCCCTGTAATGTCTGTCTGTTTCAGCAGGTTGGAGCACATATTCTGGGACCCTGTGGCACGGGGGAACCAGGTGAGACCAAAAGGTATATGGGTTTCCAAGGGTGGGAGCCTCTAAGAGGAGACTGGGGAGAATTCCTATGCTCCACAGGAGTGGCCTGGTTTGGGTGGTCTCAGTACCTCTTCAGGCTGACCCAGCTTGCTCTCTCGCCCACCCATTCCCCTCGATTTCTCCTCTTTCCCTCTCTTTCTGCTCCACTTTTCTTTTTCCTTTCCTCCTCTTTCTCTGCTGACTTCATGAATATTTTTCAATTTGTTAATTTATTTTTTATAGCTGATACATAAAACACAGCACTATTCATCTTAAGGGTTACCGGTGATGCTTTGTTCCCTGCACGTTTTTGCAACCGCATTAGACCCACCTCTGTCTCTGACAATTCTCATTTCTTCCTGATGAAGACATCCAGCCTTTTCTGCAGCTTCTGAGACACGCAGTGTTCAGTCGCTGTCTGTGTCCGCCCCCTGTGCAGTCGGGACTCTGACAATCCCTACGTGTAGTTTCTTATCCACGGAGCAATCTGTCCTCAGCCTGCCTCCCTGTCCTTTATTTCCTGACTCTGTAGGGTCTGCAGATGGCTCAGATGAAGCTTCCAGGGCTCCAGACACTGAGTAAGTCCTTGCCAGCAAGTGTCACTGTTGTCTGCAGTGGGTCAAGCAGTGTGCAGGGCTGAGAGCCTTGGGTTCAGGAGCAGGGTCACTTGCCACCTCCTGTGTCACCTGAAGCATGTTTCTTTTTTCTTTTCTTTTCTTTTCTTTTCTTTTGTGTATGTGGTGGTGGTGGGGTGTAGCTCTGGCTATCCTGGAACTCACTCTGCAAACCAGGCTGGCCTCAAATTCACAGAGATCCGCCTGCCTCTGCCTCCCAAGTGCTGGGATTAAAGGCGTGCACCGCCACACCTAGCCTCTTCCCTCTTTTCGAACCCATTTTTCTCATCTGTAGCGTGGGGTGTAAACACCACGCTGCCCATGCTTTCCACTGCTTGCTGGAATCTCAGTGTGGGAGCGCCTCTGGGAAGGAAAGGGAACATGGATGAGCTCTGTGCAGACAGACTTCCAGGAGTGTGAGGCCTGCGTGGCATCTGGAAGCACGACTGGGACCACCACGGGGAATAGGCCCTCTCAGCAGTTTAGGTCTCTCAGGGGAAGCTACCTGCCTTATCAGTGAGGGTGTCAGGCCCGGTGGGGACAATGACACATTAGGGAGCCTGCTCAGGGAGGGGCCCTGCCCAGTTTCAGCCGCCTCTGCCTCGTGTAACCGCAGAGCCTCATGTGTTTTATGAAAACCCACACACCGATCTGGACACAAGGGCACACACCTGTAGCCTGCAACTTCAGAACTGGGGAGGCTGCGATTGGGGAATCATGATTTTTGAACCCAGTTGGGGCTTTACAGCTAGACTCTGTCTCAAAAGCAAACCAAGCAAAAAAAAAAAAAAAAATAGAAACAAAATAAAGCCCAGGGCTAGAAACCTAGGACTTAATTAGTACCTATTGCCGGTTATTAATTATATATAATTAAATGTATATAATCTCACACACACATGCACGCACACACAAGCATGCACCCATATGCGCGCGCGCACACACACACACACACACACACACGCACACACACACATGCATGCACCCATATGCGCGCGCACACACACACACACACACGCACACACACACATGCATGCACACACTTGTGCGTGCACACACACACATCCCCAATGTCAGCCTGAAGAACCACTTTGTGACTTCCGCCCAACCACCTCTTTCTATTCACTGCTTCACTCACTCATTCCTTGGACGGCTGGCTCCTTGCTGCAGGTGTAGAAGGCTGGCCACGCCTAGACCCCAGTGGGAAGTAAGGTGGCTCAGATGGGCCTTATTTCAGGCCACCCACTTGCTGACCACTGACCCTTCTGCAGGCCCAGAATGTGGCTCATCAGATGGCTTGAGCAGAATCTGGAGAAAGTGCTGCCTCAGCCCCCCAAACCCTCCGAGGTAAGTGATGAGTTGGGGGTGGACAGCTGACCAGCAAGGAGGGCTGGGGCCCAGGGAGCTGCTCCCTCCAGCAGGCCAGGGCCTACCCCCACGGCAGAGTGGATCTTCTCCTTAGAGTGTCTTACTTGAGGGGAGAGTGACTAACTAGGGCCTGGGGACATTTGGGAACAAGACAGAGCCACTGTTTTCTTATCAGTGAGACAAAATTCCTGACAAACGATGCTTAGAGTTCACGGGACCAGAGTATAGTTGGTCAAGGTGGGGTATATTCAGGGCTGTCCTTGACCATGATCCATATCTCTGTCATCCAGGCCTGGAGAGATGAACCTGAGGCTACTGTCTTGGACCCAGGTACAGAGAAGGAACTGGGAGGGGCTTCCTAAATGGTCACAGGCTGGGCTCCAGGGAACCTGAGACTCTGTGTGTGTGTGTGTGTGTGTGTGTGTGGGCTCAGGGTAGCCTTAGTTCTCAGTCAGATGAGGGGACAGTTCAGTCCTTGCTAAGACTGGAAACCCCACCTTAGTCAGATCTGGAACTCCAGCAGCTAGGATCAGCTGGACTCCACAAACTTGGTAGGTCCCTTTCCCTTCCTGTACTGTTTGATATTAGGATGGTCCCCAAGGGGCGCTTCACCCAGCCATGTCAAGTCTCCAAATCTGGCCGTTTATATCCAAGAGGGATTGGATGAAACCCTGCTATGGGTTCTTTAGTGCTGCCTCTCCTACCACACAGATCCTCCAGAACCCCTGATGGAGACAGAGCCCACAGAGAGTCCCTCCCAGCCGAACCCTGGAACTGTGGAGCCTGAGGAGGAGCCAGATGCAGAGCCCCAGCCTGGCTTACAGACCGCTTCCTTGCCTCCACCTGGGGACCCTGTCAGGTGAGCCCCCTGAAGGCCACACTGCCACAGGGAGCAGGCTCAGAGCTTTGCTCTAGCCCAATACTAGTTTGTCAAGTTAGAAAGTTAAAACATGCACTTTGGAGAAAACTTAGACTCCCTAGGCAAACCTCATCAGCCAGGATGGGGAGTATACTTTTCCTTTAAACATATACCAAGTACCCACCTGTAAACTCAGGAAGCTGAGGCAGGAGGATCATAAGTTCAAGACCAGCTTGGACTCTATAGCTGAATTTTGTCTCAAAACAAGCAGCACATACACACACACACACACACACACACACACACACACATACACACACACCTCTATCAAAAGAAAGTTGCATGAATTCTTGTACATCTTCCTTTTTTTTTCACTAAAAAGAAAGACCCCCAGGGTCTGGAGAACTGACTCAAGTGGTTAAGAGTCCTTGCTGTGCAAGGTCACTCCATGAGCATGAGGGCCAGACTTCGGATGCCAGCACCCATGTAAAAGTGGGCATGGTCTTATGCAGGACTGCAACCCCCCTCAGAGGTGGTTTTATACACCAGTTCTATTTCATTCCTTCCATCTCCGAGAAGAACTAAACAGTACTCCATTAATTTAACCACATAGGAGCCCTTAGAATTGGTTCACACTTTTCCTGCAATCAAAAACCTTGTACATACCCTATTTGGTCACCAGGAGTAAATGTGTGGACTCAAGGCCACATGCATTTAAAATCTGGACGGGTGCTGCCCAATGCTCACACCCTGTGCTGTGTGAGAGATCGGAAATGTATGTGTAAAGAGAGATGAAGAGTGAGCTCCCTGCTAGGGCTGGGTTGAGAGGGGAAGGAGAGGGAAGATGGGGAGGAGAGGAAGGGCCTTCAGGGTTAGAGATCTGGGGCTGGCTTCTGGTATGACCTGCCTCCTGGCAGGCTTGTTCTACCCCGGTTCCCCACCCCCAGTCTTCCCACCTGGCTTCAGCTCGTCTCTTCACCGCAGGCTCATTGAGTGGCTCCTGCACAGGCTGGAGATGGCCCTGCCACAACCCGTGCTCCATGGGAAAGCTGCGGAGCAGGTGAGTGGCAGCCAGGCAGAAGAGGTCCCTGCCTGGGTGGTGGTGGAGGGAGGGGTCTTGGAAGCTCAGATAAGGGTTGGAGGGTTGACTCGGGTCCCTGGGGATGGGGACACAGCAAGAAGGGAGCCATCAGTGGCAACTCAGCCCTGAAGCCTGCCTGTGTACACACGTTGGCTCAGGCGGACTGGTCTACCTGTTAGGAGCTTTCAGTCTAGGGACTTCTGCAGGGGTAGCGGAGCTCAGAGATAGAGTCTCCTGGAGCACCAAGGAAGGCTTGCTAGTGGAAGTGACCCCCAAGAATGTACAAAGATTCAGAGCCCAGGAGTGCTCCAGGAAGAAGTGATGTTCCCAGGCTCTGTGAGTATTCCTGGCAGCTTAGGGCCCAAACATGGGTGGTGGGGAAGCAGGGCCATGGTCTCCTCTTCCTTTTCTTCATCAAGAGACTAGGGCCTGAGTCTCCTTCCTGGGGGACAACTCACATCTCCATAGAAGCCCCGTAGGACTGGGAAGTGACTGTGTGACATTGGCCTGGGTCCTCAGGGAGCCTTACTTTATCCCCCTGAGAAGTGGGTGACCAATTCCATTAGCACCCAGGCTTGTGAAGGAAAAAAGGAAAGAGCTTTGAAAGTAAGCCAGAGAGTGGTGGGTCTGGACTGGTCCTGGGCTCTGGGCCCTTAAGGTCCTAGCCCAGCAGGTCTGGGCAGCACCTTGCTGCAGCTGTTTCAGGGACCATACCTTGTGTCACAGAGCCAACTGCTCTATTCTTCCCGCACTGGCTTTGTTTAATGGGAGGTGCGCCAAGAGCCAGAGACTGAGTCCACACCCCACTCCTCCCCTCCCAGCTGTCTCAGTGCTGAGGGAGGCTGAGCAGAAGGTACTGAAGGCCAGACTTATGCTTCCCACCCTTCATCACGCTGTCCCCTAAGGGGCAGAGAGCACTGGCTTCAGAGATTTCCAAGTATAAAAGGGCCTGGGGGCCAGGAACCATTAGCTAATGAAGATGCTGTGATGACAGAGGACTCTGGGGACCATGGCAGCAGGGGAAGCAGGGATAGTTGGGAGAAGACTTCCAGATGCTAGGAGAGGGTGGGCATCTCATAGAGTGAACAGAAGAGGTGGTATCCCAGCCCGAGCAAAAGCTGGGAGCAAGCTGTGGTCCTGGAGCGAGGAGGGACCGGAGCAGCCAGGAGTGGGGACCTGAGACAGTGGGTCTGTGCAGGTTCTGCTGGGGAAGAGACTCATGCATTGGCGACAGGAGGGAGGCAGGAGAGGCAGCCGTGGCAGGTCTACTCTTTTCTTCCCATGTAGGAGCCTGGCTGCCCCGGGACGTGTGAGGTGCAGACCAGTAAGTATCACACCCATGGGTCCCATGTTCACTTTGGGGAGAGGAGCCACCTGATATACTTAGGTCTGAGTGTGAGGCACAAATAGGGTCTCCTAACCTGGAGTTGAGAGAGTCCACTCCCACTCAGCATCTCTGGATAGCAGTGATGGAGCTGGTGGTTAGAGCATTTCCGCTTTGGCTCCCAGCCACCATCAGGAAAACAACAAGTCCACACCCCTTCCTGTTGTCCATCACCCAGAACTGGGGACATGGGTTTGGCTGAGCAGAGTCCAGGTTGGGAAAGTGGTGATGGATGGGATGTTCTTGGGAAACAGATTCTGGGAACTCCAGACCTTTGAGTCAGGACCCCTGCTCCTGTGAAGAGTTGGGAGGTGTGTGGTGGCATCACTGGAAGACAGAAGGCTGAGGGCAGGCAGGAGACAGGCAGGGGCAGCAGGTCTGGAAGTGGATAATATACTGGCAGGTAGTAGATAAGACATCCGTGCATTCATTTATCCGTCCTTCCCTCCCTCCACCTGTCCGTCCGTCCATCCATCCATCCATCCATCCATCCATCCATCCATCCATCCATCCATCTATCCATCCATCCAAATAGTGATGGGTGCCTTGCTGTCACTTGCTCCAGCCTGCTTTAGCCTCCTGTGGTGGGCTTCAGGTGAGCATCAGGCCTATGAACAATGCAGCCCCTGTACCATCCTGGACACATACCCTCTGACTCTGGCTCAGGGCCTCCTCCCAGGGCAGGAAGAAAACCTGAGTCCAATCCCAGATCTACTGGGTCATGGTCTCCAAGAGCATCCTGAAACCGAGTGACCAGGCAGGTCAGGGAGGTGAGAGTCCACAGTAATTAGAACAATACTCAGTGAGAGGAAGAAAGCTGGCAGCTACAAGGTAGAACAAGCACTCTTTTTTTTTTCTGGGACTCCTGGCTGTTCTGAAGCATGTAGAGACCCCATGGCTGTTGAGGCAGGAAAAGGGCAAACCTTGGAGAACCAGAGATACCTGCCTATTCAGAGTAAGTCATATGTAGCAGAAAATAGGCTCCATTTAGTCAGGCAAGTGATTACTCAGGCTGAAGTTCAAGGACCAAAATTTCCCAGGACAGGGACCTTCTATACATGGCAGAGGGCTCAGATGGGTGCTGGGTCCTCCGGTCTTCCTGTTGGCTTCCTGGAATGTTGTAGGATTTCAGATGGCTGAAATCAGGCTACCCCAAAGTTCCTGGGACAGGCAGGTCACTGGTGGGCACCAGGCAAGAGTGGACACAGGCTTAGCACAGAGGCCAGGCTCTTAGGTTTGTCCCCTGCGACTGCTGTGACAAATGTGCGTATGCTCACGGTTGAGGTACTGGCAAAGTCCAGTCCTTTGAGACACTCGGAGTGGGGCTGTTCTTGCAGCTCGCCTGAACGGCTTGGGCCTCCTTGGCTTCTAGATCTTCCATCTGCTCCCTGTCCCTTCTGCTCATTTTCCCACTTGAAAGGGCATTTGTTGCTGGGAAGAAAGCCTGCCCTAAACTCAGGAAGCGCTTGCTTTGAGATCCTGAGGCCAATCATGTCCTCAAAAACCCTATTGCCAAATAAAGTCACATTGACATAGAGTAGGATAGAACTTGAACATGTCTTTTCAGGGACACTGCTCAACCCACTACATGGGGTGACTGGGAGCCTGGGGATACTTTTTCATTTCCTTCCTCTGCTCTGTCTCCTTGCCTACCCATCCATCCTCTGCTTGACCACTCATATCCCCACCCCATCCATCCATCCACCCCATCCATCCATCCATCCACCCATCCACCCACCCATCCATCCATCCATCCATCCATTCATCTTCTGTCTGTCCACTCAGGTGAGACATTTTTGTCACCTCCTTTGTTTCAGGGGTGACAGCAGCTGGAGGCCTCTGAAACAAGGGAGAAGGTGACCTGGGGAGCCCATGGACAAATGGATGGATGGATGATGGACAGAAGGATGCCTCAAGAGAAGATCTTTTAGGGGGCAGTGACTGCTAACCTCCACCCTCCTTGAATAGTGAACCCCAGGCAGGATTGAGAAAAACAGAATCATGTGAAACACCAGAGCTTTTGGGGCTCTTGGCCAGGGGACAGCACCCTGACCAGAGCAAGGGCAAGGGGGACTTCCTTATGGGAGACTATGGAGAGTCCTATAAAGGCCTCAATGTTCAGTGTCTGAGCATGCTCACACCGGGCACCTGGCACCATCCATACTGCTGTAGGACCCAGGTTCGCTACAAGTGGTTCTCCCAAGATCTGTCCTAGTTCTCTTTCTGAGAGTCAGGAACTACCACTGACTGTGACATTGTAATTGACATTAAAGAGTATGACTTTGCACCTCAAATCTGTGACTGCATGACATTCTTAGGACAAGTCTGAAAGAAGCCTTGGGTTTTACTTTTTTTTTTTAGATAGGTTCTTGCTGTACATTCCAGGCTGGCCTCCAACTCTCCATCCTCCTGCTTCAGTCAACTGATTGTTTGAATTGCAAATATACCCCACAACGCTTTAGTACTTAGGTACTAAAGAGAGACGAGTTGGATAGACATTACCTGTGGTACTGGGGTTATAGGATGAGGAATTGGCCAGGGACCCTGAGGTCCCAGTGTCCCCTAGATGTCTTTATTTAGATTAACTTTGAAAAAGGATTATCAACCTTTAAAAAAATCCTCTTTCATGTTGAGTGATGGTGATTCACGCCTTTAATCCCAGCACTTGAGAGGTAGAGACAGGCAGGTCTCTAAGTAGACCAGCCTGGTCTACAAAGCAAGTTTCAGGACTGTACAGAGAAACTCTGTCTCAATAAATAAATAAATGCATAAATAAATATATAAAATTTAAAGACCAGCTTCCACAGAAGGGCCTGACTTCTGTTGGGAATGGGATGGTCTGGCTGTGGTGACTTCTGTTGGGAATGGGATGGTCTGGCTGTGGTGACTTCTGTTGGGAATGGGATGGTCTGGCTGTGGTGACTTCTGTTGGGAATGGGATGGTCTGGCTGTGGTGACCTACATGGTGCTCATGAGAAAGGTGTGAATAGGAGCTGTCACCTGCAGGCAGCTGGTGTTTGTCCCTTCATCCATATCCACCTTCTGAGTTTGAGTTTGAGACCCCTAGTGCCTTGAACTGTCAGTGAGAAAGGGCAGTCTGTAGAGACAATAAAGTGGGAAACGCCTAAAGGTGGGGGCAAGGGGCTGGGGAACTCTGGACATGTCAGCTAGCCGGGATCCCAAGCTCTTGATAGTGAAGTTAAAACTAGAAGTTTAGCTAGTCCCCTAGTCCTGTAGGGACTAGGCTCTAGGTAATGAGGAGCCACTGAAGGTGGTTGAGCAGGGATTAACTTCACGAAGATTTCTCTGGGGCCGAACAAGTACCGAAGGCAGGATATGCTCCAAGCGGGGCCATACCTCACACGGCCAGACTCAATTGTGAAGAATGTCCCACCTCAAGACCTTATTGCTGGGGTATGGGCATCCTGGGAATCTGCCTTTTCAAGCAGCTCCTGCCTCCCCATGCCATTCTGTTGACGGCAATGCCTGGGACCGTCAGAGGTGTGTGTGGTGAACGAGGGCCTAAGCTTCAGAGCAGAGAAGATGAGGACAGATGTAGCCTGGACTAGCGGAAGGGGCATCACGAGCTACACCTCCTAGAGAAGACAGACTGAAGCAAGCACAGGCCCTGGCTTTCAGGAGACTCCAGACCAGAGTGTCTGGCCTGGTGAGAACCTGTGTGACCGGACTCGCTGGAAGCAGGAGCTCCTATCTCAGATGAGCAACTGGACAGGTTGCTGACTGGAAGGTAGCATGTCCAGGAAAAACTCAGCATGGGCTGGGCCAGCACTGGGCTCCTGGGCAGGCTGTAGAGAACAAGAGGTAGACTACGTCTTGGTACAGAGGGGAGCCAGAGCACCGCAGGCAACGGCTTCTCCCAGAGGCCTGCCAGCCTGCCACCCCCGCTCCCGGATATGCTGTCTGCACCTCATCCTTGCCTCTCTGGGTTGGTGACTGGGCCCAGAGTTGTAGCATATTTGACTGTAAACAGGCACAGTCTAAGTTACCTTGTAGGTCTGCTGCAGAGACGAGGAGAGGAGCATCTAAAAAGCATTCATAAGGAAGGAAACAAGGATGGCAACACTGGGGACAGTGCCCAGCAGGGCATCCAGTGCTGCGGAGGTGATCATGGGCATGCTTATTGCCTGGGATACAGTGACATCCCCTCAGAAGTTCGAGGCCAGCCTCGGCTGCATAGCAAGACCCTATGTCCAAAAACCAAGACAGTCACCATTACTAACTTATGCTTGACTTGATGGCCACCAAGACCCCTGGAAGGAACTTCTGAGAAACAGCTGGTTTTCAGGAAGTCTCCCCTTCCCTCCTTGACTAGGGTGAGTTGGGTCTCCCGTGAGAAGTCCTGAGCCATTTTCTTTGTTTTTTTGAAATGGAGTCCCCCTGTGTAGCCCAAGGTGGCTTAGAACTCACCACGTTGCAATCCTCCCTATAGAAATCCCCTTGCCTCTGCCTCTCAAGTGCTGAGATTACAAGTGTGAACTACCACACCCAGCTGTCTTAACCTATTGCCTGACAGGTTGACATCCTTTTCTAGTAAGGGATCTGGATCCACGGAGAAATGTTAAAGAGTTACAAGCATCTGTAATTGCTTTCCATGTCCCCATGAAAATGTCACACTGTTTCAGAGAGTGGAGATTCTAAGCCTAGCTGGAGGGATAAGGCTCCCAGAAGCAGGTGCTGAGCTCACAGACACTTTGTCACCAAGAGACAGCACCCAGGAAATACCCAAGGAGCAGGCTTTGTCTGCACCCTTTGGGACAACCCAGGATACCCTGCCCCTGGAGGTGGTGTCAAGTCTGGGTCCTTTCACATAAGCTGTGATGCTGTGAATGGAATATTCTTTCTGTTCTGGTCAAACCTCTAAGAAGGAGAGCCCTGATAGGAAGCAAGCTTGGTCAGCCGTAACCAGAGCTTGCTCCCAAGAGGGGAAAGGCAGAGAGCCATGGGAGGAGGCTGCATGACTGGTTGTGTTGTTTGAGGCTGTCCCTGGGGCATTGAGCTGGCCGCTTATGAGCCTGTTGGTAACACAGCCAGCTAGGAGCCAAGGCCCCCGGGGGGTAGGGGCTCCAGGATGAACCCCCAGGACTCAGGGGCACAAGCTACCCTCCTTATCCCACAAATGACTCCTTTTTATCTCCTGCAGTTAGCATCCTTCCCATGGAACAGGTGGAACATGATCTTGTCCTGGAGGAGGTGGACCCCTGCTGGGAGGACATCGAGCAGGAGGACAGCGCCAGCCAGCAGGAGGACAGCGCCAGCCAGCAGGAGACAGAGGTGGCCCCAGTTTATGAAGAAGAAAGCGAGGCCATGGTGGAGATGCCCAGGTGGGAAAGCAGAAGTCCTGGAAAAGGAGCCAGTGCTTGAGAAGGTACCAGGCATACAGTGTGGAATCCTAAAGGCATAAAAGGGCCGGGGGCAGGACCACACCTGCCTCTCCACTCTCAGCACTGCACTCAACCCCTACGCACATGGCTCCAGACTCCATTTCAGAGGTAGATTGGGGACAGATACACATGGAGCCCCATGCTCTAGTTTGATTCTGTTGCTATGATGAAAAGTTCTACTCAAAAGCAACGTAGATTGAGGAGGGGGTTTATTTCTGTTTATACTTCCAGGTCATAGTCCATCATTGAGGGAAGTCAGGCAGGAACTTGAAGCAGAAACTGTAGAGGAATGCTGTTTGCTGGCTTGTTCTCTAGACTTATGCTTAACTAGCTTTTTACATAGCCTAGGGCCACTTGCCCAGGGAATGGTGCTGCCCACAGTGGGCTGAGCCTGCCTACATAAATTAACAGTCAAGACAACCTCCCGCAGACATTCCTGGAAACCACTCTGATTTAGGTAGTTCTGCAGTTGAGTTCTTCAATTCAGTCATCCTCTCAGATGACTTGAGGCTGTGTCAAGGTTAAGGCTAACCAGGTTAATACCTCTTTTTTTTTTGTTTTTGTTTGCACAAAAGATGGCATATCATGTGTTATTTATCTGCCCCTGGTTATATTTGGTCAGTAATACACCTTGACACTTTCCATAATTCACTAAATGGAAATCGTCCTCATTGTTTTCATAGTTGTACAGTATTCCATTATATGGATAGACCATAATTTGTCTGTTATTTTGTTTGTTTGTTTTTAGACAAGGTCTCATTATGTAGTCTTGGCTGGCCTGGAGCTCACTATGTAGACCAGGCTGGCCTTAAACTCAGAGAGACCTGTCGCCCTCTGCCTCCCAAGTGCTGGGATTAAAGGTGTGTGCCACCAAGCCTAGTTTTAACATGCCTTCCACTCTTTATCGATCTAGTTGGAGGCATGAACCTAGGAGAGTGGAGCCTAAAAATGAGGCGGACTAAATTCTCACGCAAAAGCCAACTTTATTCAGAGCATCAGACGATATATACTCTGAGAGTTGAGAAGAATCATATGAGCTAAGTGTATAATCACAAGAGGAAGCTGCACGTGGCAAATACATGATTTTCCATAGAGACAGATAAACAAGTAATACTGAGTTGTAATGAATAATCTAAAGCGAACTCACTTCTACCCACTGCACCTGGGAGGGTCACAAAAGTGCACTCCAAAATCAGTTCCATGTTTTTGAAGACACTGAGGTCACAAGATTCTTGTCTTGTTTTCTTGGGGTTTTTCTCACAAGCACCCAGAATTCCCCTCAAACGGCTCCATTCTTGGACTGTGTTCAACACTCCACTGGTGATGTTTAGGTTGTGTGTTAGTCATCTTTCTGTTGTAATTAGATGCTCGAGGCCAGCAACTCATAAAGAAAGGAGGCTTGTTTTAGCTCATAGCTTCAGAAGTTCAGTCCATGGGCAGTGGCCCTTCAACTTTTGTTAAGACATAGCGGGGAAGAACAAAATGATGGATTTCATGTCAGGGAAGCATTTGAAAAAGACAGGGCTGCTACGACGAGCAATTCAAGTTCCTGACCTGCCTTGCTAAGAAATACGTAAGGGGAAACTGAGGCTCACTGAAGTTCAGAGCCATCCTCAAGTACCATCAGGGCAGTGTAGACAGGTTGTGGCTAGAGAGATCCCAGGGCTACTGGTGAGGAGCTCCCAGGTGGAGCTGCTGTAAGTCCCAGGACACATGTCAGAGATGGGGTGAGGAGGGCTGGCTGCTCACCTCTGGCTTCTGGTCCTGATTTAGGGAATTGCCCCAGATTCAAGAGGAAAGAGAAGAGGAGGAGGAGGAGGAAGAGGAGGAGTACGAGGAGTATGAGGAGCCTATGTGAGTCACTGTCCTGGGCAGTGGGATTAGGGGGTCCTGGGTTGGGGTGTGTTCTGCCTTTGTTCTGTGATGAGCACTGTTGGGCTCTGACCAGAGAGTTGGGAAAGCTGGGGTCCCCACTGTGCTCAGAATGAGCCCTCAGCCCAATATCCCCCCCTCTCCAACTCACAGCCCTCAGCTCAATATCACCCCCTCTCCAACTCACAGCCCTCAGCCCAATATCCCCCAC